AACAGGAAAGAATGTTTCTAGAATATAGACCACATTTCTGGCCAGAGAGAGAATAAAATCTTTGAAAGGCCTGGGCATTACCCATAGTTATATGCCTGCTTTGAAAATACAGCTTTATCAGAAAGCATGCAACCTTGGCGTGTGGATGTGAGCCCTCCCTTCCTGCTTTACTTATCCTCTTAGACCGGCACCTGAAGACTTGGTGACGAAGGACCAGCCCGAGCGCTTTTTGCTCCTCCCTCTACATGCCTTCTTTCTTTCATGTCCTGTCTCTTCAAAGGTAAGCCCAAGGGCTGGCCTGATCCTGTAGTCAGAGAGTCAGAAGCCAGTCTAGCAGCCTTTTTCAGCTGATGAGAAGAATCAAAAGGCTTCAGAGACATAAAAGGAATACTTGAGTTGCAGTCAGCATCTCCAGCTTTCCCCTAATCCCTTCATGGACACACTTGACTTCTCTGTGCCTTGTTTCTTGCTTTGCAGAACAGAAAAGATAAACCATCACTACTTCATATACTTCTGAGAATAAAATGTTATGGTGGTAATCATGGTGTCCATATAAATAAATACCTTGAATAAATTTCACTTGCTTGCTCAGGAACATTTTCAGCTAAGTATCCTGGAGTGCTTCCACTCTGTTCCTGTTGCCTAACCCCATGTGAGACGGGAGGAGAGAGATGCCCCATCTTCATCTTGCTGCTTCATTTCTCAGCAGCATCTTGCAGAAAGAGGCACATTTCCAGTTTTTGTCACTGTTGGGGGTGCTGCTGGCTCCCCTCTATTTGGAAGATTGCAGACTGCGGTTGCAATGCTAACACACCTACTAAGACCCACTGAACACCACGGAGCAAAACTTGGGCAGGAGTGCACTGCCGTGGCCCAGGGTGATGTTTGATGTTCCATCGAAGGGAAGAACGGCTTGTGTTCTAAGGAGGCTTGGAGCAGTGGTAAGCAATGCGGTTCCCTCTAGTTCAGTGGTTTTCAGCCTTCCCACAGCTGGGGACCGACGAAAACAGGAAAACCTCCTTGGGGAATGCTGAGGCAGAAACAAAGGCTCCATACACATAATGCAGTATTCTGTGTATTAGTTTCTAAACACAGTACCAAAAAAAATGAAAATTCTCCAGAGCAACCTGAAACCAAGCAACAAAAAATGCCAGCAAAGGAATAGAATACTGAAATCAGCACAGCATGGCTCCCACTGAACCGTTTCTCCCCTCCCCTCCCTGGCGCCCACAGTGGCACTGGCACACATCCCCCCCCCCCCACACACACACACACTGAGGAAGAGGTGGTGGAGCACAGGCAGCCCCTGCACTGGTCCATGGCAAGCGAAATGCACACCCCGCCCCATACACATACTAGCAGGAAATTGCGGACCTGGAAGGCTCTAGTTGGATTGCAGCTGCTATAATTCCTGACTCTTGATCATGCTAACTGGGGCTTATGGGAGCTGTATCCAAAACAAATGGAGGATGCCACATTGCTTACTCCTGGACTGGACAGGTGCCCATCAGGGCTTGGAGAAGGTGGCTTGCCTTCCTCCCTCCCCCAGAGAGGGTGCTTGCTATAGAAGGTGAAAGACTTGCTTGCACTGCTGTAGATTCATCCTGCCTACAGAGGTGGCTGTCTGAGCTCGTGTGTCCAAGAACTTGGTTGCTGTCTTAGCTCTTACAGTCAGGAAGGCAACATGTAAGGAAGCTGGACAATAAAATCCACATACTGCACATGTGGCTTGCAATATGGGAGGCAACTCACACTGACAATATGTTCATGCAGGCTCTTGTAGAACAATATACATGAAGCACTTTCAGTAGTTAGGAGCAGCAGGAGGTGATGCCCAAGTGTTGTTATCTAAGAGTACGTTTCAAGGGCTCCCCATGCAAAACTTTCCATTGAGCCCTACACATTGACTCCACATAACAAGTTTTTTGTAGTAGCTTTCTTGGCTTTAGTTTCAATAAAGAATGGATAGATTGAATAAACAGACAGCATTTATTTGGATGATCGTGAACTTGCATTTAGATATACCCTGTCCCCAAAAAAGGGTTGAGTCAATATGGAGAAAACATGTGTCTTGTAGTCAGCAGTACTTGGGCCCTTTTAATCAACTATAGCTGTGTCTCAGTGAAAATCAATAGCATAAAATTTAAGAATATCCCTGTCTCGTAATTAACATGAATGTTTTGCCTGCAATAGATAAAGCCATAGTTTGTCTGGCTCCAAAGGCAGTTGGCAGATGGTAGGAAGGCTGTGTTTTCTGGTTTCTAGGATCCTAAATGCATCCTCCAGCAGAAAAGAAAACAGTGATTATCAAAAAGTCAATTGTCATTCTGTGTCTTTAGAAAAATTCCCATTAAAGATAAAGCCAATTTTAATTAGATTAAGTATCCAATTACTGTAATTACATTTTTTAAAAAATTCACATCATGACGATGACCCTTTTAAAAAGGGTTACAAGAATAATTAGTGTATTCATATTAACCAAAATGTATTGGATAATATTTATACCCAGAAGGCAAAGTACATTACACATATTTCACCTTTGGGGAAACCTTGTAAATGTTTTGGCAGTAGTATGAATATTTATAGGCAGGAATGTGCTTTAGCAAGATTATGTGAGAAAGCATTTATATGCTCACAATTTTTTACCCAAGGGTAAAGTATACATAAAATGTAGTGCAGAGATTATGGATATGCAAAGTACAATTTAAGTAGGGGCATTTTATATCAGTTTGTTTAATTAATTGGAGCAGACTATTTTCTTCATTTTTGTGTCCAAATGACCCAAGAATCCACATGTGGGTCCTTTTTGCTCAGTAGTAACAGGCAAAGATACGAACAAATTAGGCAACAGAAAAGGAGGTATATAGGATTAAGCCAGAGGTGGCCAGCTTGCGGCCCTTCAGATGTCTTGCCTTACAACTCCCATTATCCCTCACTATTGGCTGTGCTCACTAGGGCTGATGGGACTGCTGGAAGAAAATATCTGGAGGGCCACAAGATGCCATAAGAGAAGAAACACCCTTTCGCCATTGTGATGCTACCTAAACCATGACTGATGGAGGGCGCAGAAGGGGAAGGAGGAACAGGAAGAGTGCAATTCAGAAGGAACAGGAAGAGGGCATCTGAAAACCCCTGTTCATGCATGACTCACATGTAGAGAACCCACACACAGGGCATGGATACCTGAAGAACAGCTTCTATGCTTGAGCACCAGGTCCTGTGTAGGTCATTTCTTCTCAACATATGGGCATTAATTGGGGCAGCTGCAACTCCTTCTATGCTTCTGTATCCCATAAGTGAGTAACACCTGACTAGAGTTAAAGATATGCTCACTTTTAATGCAGAGAAGATGGCCAAAGTCAAGGTGTGCCATGCAGCAAATTTATTTCCAAGACAAGGACAGAGAATTAGGTGGGAGTCAGGGAGATATAAGCAAACAGCATTTGGGTGGCTCTGCCACGGAAATCGAGGCACCAGAAAACAGAAACACTGATGAGTCAAAAGGTAAAGAATTTGAAATATAGTTTGGCATGGAATTCTCATGCCTGGTTCTGAGAAGCTGCAGACCATACGAAAAGCAAGGCTGCCACCTGCTTTCATTTTCCAAAGACTGTCCTTCCAGAACCGCTGCCCTTATGCAGCCCATCCCAAGTTTTGTGGTCTTGGCTAGCAAGTTCTGAGGAGCACTGCCCTTCTCTGCTCTGCCACCCAGAAGAGGGTGAGTGGAAATGGCTTTGTGTAACTTACTCTGCATATTCACGTGTGTTTTCTCACTCTCAGGGCACTCTGGGGAACCCTGAATGCAATGTCACCCAGCCATCCACAGCGAGAGAAAGCAAGGAGATGCAAAGGCTGCCTAGCAGACATGCAGTTGCGGCACGCAGCCCCTACTCCTTTGGCTCCTTTCCTCTGTGGTGTGTGTTGCTTTGGATCGGGCCCACCCAGAGGGAAAGTCCAGGAGGGGGGAAAGTGCAAATTGCTCCAAACTGCCTCCACAACCTCACCAAAGGGCCAGGAATGCTGAGAAGGGTGGTGCACCTTGTGTTCCTCGTCAGTAGAAATAGCCTTCCCCAACCTGGAGTCCTCCAGCTGTTTTTGACTACAACACCCAGCATTCATTCATTTGCATGCTGGCTGGGGTTAATGGGAACTGACATCCAATACATCTGGAAGGTGCCTGGTCAGAGGAAAGCTGGCACAGAGGAAAATTACTTAAGGCAGGGGTGGGCGCTGTGAAGGCCTCCTGTGGTTGTCAGGCTGCAACTGCCATATCCCTGACCATTGGCTATGCTGGCTAGGACTGATGGGAGTTGCAGTCCACGAACATACGGAGGGCCACAGGTCCCTCAGCCCTGGTTCAAGGCTTTTCTACAGCACCTATCATAATATTTACTGTTGTTGCTACGTGCTATCAAATCCTATCCGACTTCCAGCGACCCTAAGAATGAAAGCCCCTCAAAACTTCCCAACCACGACATCCCTTCTGAGTTGCTCTAAATTCAGGGCTGTGGTTTCTTTATGGAGTCAATCCATTTCTTAATATAGCTACGTAAATTATATTACCCAAATCGCAGTATTGACGCAAATTAAAAATAAAACCGATGCGGGGTAGAGAATACAATCACGATCAATTAGCGATTCTTTTAACGGACTCCTCGCAACTGACACTCGCTCCGAGTCTCGGGGCCGGGCCGCGAGAGCGCCGCGTCGAGGGAAAAGCGAGCGCCCGAAGCGCCCGCGCGCCCGAGCAGGAGCCGCGCAGCGCCGCCAATCACGGCCGAGCTCTGCTCCTCGTGCGCAGCGCTCGCTCCGGCCGAAGTGAGGGCAGGAAGGGCCCGTCCCTGTCTTCGGAAGCCGCAAAGCGCATGTTCAAGACTCCCGCGCACGCTCCGTAGCGGCCCTGTCGCTCGCATTTTCCGAAGATGCTAAACTCCCTAGTAAAGCGCGAGGAGGGGAGGAAGTGACGTCGTGGGCTAAGCGCGGCGCTTTCCGCTCCGCGAGCCCCGGCCGGCCATGGCGTACTCGACGTTCCGCAGGGTGGCCCTGGCCTCCTGCGTGGTCTTGTGCGTGTCGCTGCTCCTGCCCAAGGTTTTCCTTCCGCGGGGCTGGAGGCAGCAGGAGCCCAGTGGCGGCGCGCCGCCCACACCGGCTGGCGGGCCCGAGGGTAAGCGGCCGCGCTGAAGGCCACCGGGCGCCTCTCCCCGATCCCCTCCCCCCCTTTCCAAGCTGCCTCATTTTTTCCCCTTTATTATCATCACGTTTGTTCCCCTCCTTTTTCCCTCTTGGAAGTAACCCCAGCAGGCTCACACGGTTCTCCTCTCCATTTTACCCTCCCTAAGGGGGTAGGTAGACTGGGAGCAGCTGCTAGAACCTGAATCTCCTGAGCTCCATTCCAAAGTTAACTAGTACCCTGCACGGCTCTCACATTGTTCTGCCACAGAAGTTGCAGAACTAGATGTTTGTTGATACTTAAAGTAGGAACGTTGTAGTTTACCCATCTTGTATTGCTTTTAAGGAACACAAGGCGTTAGACTGGGAGTGATTGGGTTGGTTGAATGTAAAGCACTTTGCATCGAATTGAATTTACAGTTTTTCTTGCAAAAGTGTAAAATTAGTAAAGTAGCAAATTTGCATATACTTACAGGTACAAATGCACATAAGCACAAAAACTTATTTGCAAAGTCAGTTCACACACCAATATTTTCTGCCCCAGCCTTCCTCTATCCACTACCTTATATTGATGATAAAAGTAATAGCCAAGTACTTCTGGAGGGCATTGGGTAAGGTATTGGGTAAGGTTACTGTTCCTCCACAGTAATTTTGAAAAGGGTGTGGAATGGGAAGGCAACAAGATCAGAATTAATATGGCAACAGGTAGGGAGTTTATCCAAATGGTGCTGGTTGCTAATTTATGGTTTCTCTGCTTGGGATGAAGTTAGTTACATTGAATGAACAGTTGCTGCAGTTGCTCTCTTGACTGTAGACTTCAAATTTCAGTATTCAAAGAGGGTTTCCTATCTTTTGGGCTACAACAGATACAGTAGTGTTTATTTTACATCAGTGTGTTCAGTGTAGTCCTGATACACTTATCAGGAGTAAGTGCCATTGAATTTGGAGCTTATATATGAGTAGAAGTTTAATAATATGGTTTTGTTTGGCTTGGTTTCATTGCTGTGCTATGTTTTTGAGCCATCCCTTGCAACATTAGTTTGCAATCATTACAATTACAATGTCCATAATTAATTTTTTTTCCTATACAATTCTTTGGATATGTTATGTAAAATAAAAAGATCACTAAAACCTCTTGGACTGTGTTTTTCTGCTTATTGCATTTTCCCCTGCCTTTCCCTCCAATTCTTTGCTGGCCAGTCAAATGTAATGGGCCTGATTTCATTGTTACCATAGGGTGTGCCTGTGATTGCACATGAGAAATTATATGATTGTCAATAATTTCTCATGTATGGGAAAAGTCAACATCATGGTTAACACTGAATTATTTCAGCAACTTCTTGCCTTATTTTCAGTGATGTGAGTTTTTCTGAAAAATGGTAAATGGAGATTTTGAACTAGACTAAATTGCATAGTGTAATTTACATGAGAAATTCAGTTTGTGTTGGAAAAGCAAACTAGAGAGTGATTGAATTGAGCATGCTTACTAAATACAAGTATATATGTCATGTCAGTCCCTCAGAGAGTTACCTATAGATTCCAGCCTATCTGCCCACCTCCACATTACAGTGCTAGCCTTTGTGGACCAAAGCCCACTTATGACAGGATGGGGAACCTCCATCCAGGCAGCTCCATTTGACTCAGAGTCTTGGGAAAAGGACCCATCTCTCAGAAGAAGAAGCAGGAGAGCAACTGAGGCAGCTTAACTTATGCAAGGGGAAGGGAGTACAGCGAAACTGACACATCCTGCTTCATTTCTGCATCACCTGTTCAAGGAAGTCTTTTTCCTGCTGAGAAAGGCCTAGACTCCCTGACTGAAGTGCCTGCTGAAGAAGCACTAGCTGATGCTTTGGCAAGTGATCTGATAGGATATGTCCTCTTCTCTCCCCCCCCCCCCCGCCCACCACCCATGTCACTTACCATGCTTGGGCAGTTTAAAGAGACAATTTCGGTTCCCCACTCCTGACTTTGGATATAACATCCTGCCGGTCTACATGCAGAGAGAGTGTTTGCAGATCCCACCCCCCATTCACCTTTTGTCTTGTACTAAGAAGAGCTAGATCACATGATCCTTCTGCATGTTTACATCTGCTTAAAGAAAGAACCCATGTTAATGTATGCAACAGATGGGCAAGTGTATTTTAAGAATAAATAAATGGTGGCCTAAGAAATCAGTAACATTCACGAGGCAATCTCCCTAAAAATTCTCCCGTTACTAGAATTTTGCTAACTATAGCCACGAGACTGTGGTTTTCAGTTTGAAAAAGTAAAGGATGCATCAAAGGAGATTTGAATAAACAGTTTGCTTAAAATGTGTCTGCCAATTTAGTGCTTTTTGTTCACTTTCCCTTGTAAGAGGCAGTTTCATGAATATGTCATCCATTTCCTAAGTTCCTATCCTCCTGCTGTTTAATCCACCCAGGAAGTGAAGGTGCTGATGCATTTCTTAGAACTGGTTGTAGCCAGTTCAAAGCATCCCTGCTGTATCAGCAAGGCTCCCCGTTAAATAAGAAATAGCTTGCATGTTGCTTCCTACATACTAATAGTGCACTCTGCTCTCTGAGTGTTGATCCTTATAAAGCCGAAATAGTACTGTCCACCCATATGAGTGGTCACAACTGGTTAAGGGAAACCCCAAGATTTGCACAAACACAAAAAACTTCAGAGGAAACTCTTAGAGGGTACACAGAAATAGCCCAATGTGCTTTGGGCTTGGTGGGCAAAGAATACAGAGTAAGGTTGGTGAAGTGGAGAGGAGGAAGGGGAGACTGAAAATGTAGGATAGAGGGTATAAATCTTGAGAGAATGCAGGCCTCACTTATTTGAATCATTCAGGCAAATTGTGGGAAATTTTAATTGCTTCGGCAAAGAAAGGGTGAGAATGTTTAGAATCAAAGCTGCCGTTCAGGGTTTTTGTAAATTGGAAAATGCATCTTCATATTGCAAACATAATTGTAAGGGGGAAATCTGATTTTAAGATGAGTCTGCCTCAGTTGTCCTCAAACTGGTGTCTTTCAGATTTTTGGGTTTCAACTCCTATAACCCCCAGCCAACAAGGCCAGTGTCAGGAATCCTGGGAGTTGCAGGCCAAAAACATCTCGTATAGGTTATTGTACGTGATGTGGATTTTGCATTGGGTATCCATGCATTGAAGCATGCAAGTTTAGACAAGAACTATTATAGGAAAATAGAAGCAATATTGAAAATACAGGTGTTCATCCACTACTTGTTCTTACAAACTTTGCCATACAGCTCCCATCACCAAATCTTTTCCACTGAAAATTAACACCAACACCAATTAACACCATTGGTACTAGTACCCATGAAAGAATTACACTAAACTTTTCCTATAGAAAAAAAGAAATAGATGAGCATAGATTGTAAAATTCAAAGGCATCCCATCTTGATTGCTACATCTGTTGTGCAAGACGTATGATGTCTTTGTTGAAGCCCTGCGTGCTTATGCTACCCAACAGATTATGATTGAGATCAAATGGGGTGGAAATTTGAGAAACATATGACTGGTTTATTCAGCCATTAAGCAGTGTTGGGCAATACATTACCCACTGAAAAAGGCTAGCTCTTTAAAAAATACTTAAATGTTGTTTCTTTTTGGCGGTAGAAACAATAAAGCCCTGAAAGACCAACCGAAGTTCTGGTTTGTGCATATTTCTGTATAGACTTCTGGGTTCTGTTCTATCTTCCCTACCAATCTTTCAACTTTTCTGCTTCTGGAACAGAATAGTAGCCATGTTTTAACTTGGCGGGTAACATTTGTCTAAGGCAACTGTCAGTACCATAGGCAGTGCTGCACCCTTTGTAACCTTTCAAGGTACATTCATTTATCTAATGCTAGTTCCAGGGGATTCATGCCACCTAGTCATATGATGATTATGAACTTACTCAAGAACTTTCTGTTGATGGCTGCTGGTAGTTTATGGCAGCCTTCTCCAACTTGGTGCCTCCAAGTGCTTTGGAGAAGAAATCGTATTGTGCTTCTGCTTAGGCTGGCTGGGGCTGATGGAACTTGTAGTTCAAAACGTCTCCAAAACAAGTTAGGGAAGGCTAGCTGGTGGCATGTGATAGAGATGTTAGACATTCAGAATATTCAGAGTTATCTTCTTCACAGAAAAGTTAAAAAATCTTAAAACACCACATCTGTTTCAGAATGGATCTTTTTAACCTTGAATTTCAGGGAAGGCTGGTTGGTTTCCTCCAACAATGCGTCCTCAGGTCTTTCCAGAAGTCAAACTGCCTGCTACCCATTTTCCAAGATCTCATCTTGCAGAAGCCGTTGCCAAGGCCAAGGGTGGTGGTGGAGGAGGAGGAGCAGGAGGAGGAGGAGGCAGCGGCAGCGGAAGAGGTCTTGTGGGACAAGTCATCCCAATATATGGATTTGGGATCCTTTTATATATATTGTACATTCTTTTTAAGGTAAGAACATGACTCTTTAACCCTTAAAATTACAGTTGCATTAATACAGTAATTTGAAAATTCTCAGCTAGCTTTAAACGGGTCCTTATTTATTTTTTAAATGAGATTTATATATTTATTGCCCCAGTGGGCAAAACTCATTAAGCTAAAAGCAGTTTGAAATTGTTGAAAATTACTGGAAAGGAATGAAATAACTGATGGGCATGTTCCACCTAATCAACTTTGCTACAGCGTGTGCTGTGGAACCAAGCTGAGTAGGGTAAGCACAATTAAATGGCCACCTATGAGCCTTTGTGCAAGTGGAAGCCGCACAGCATAGCGGCAGATTCTGATGCTGTGAGGTCAGGCTGAACAACCAGATTTTATTTTATTTTGCTACACAATAGAAAATAAATTGACCCGGATTTAAAATAAGAGTCATTTGGCAACCCACCTCCTCCTTACAGTGGCTACACTGTTTACATAGGATAGGGAGAATTCCTTAATGCGGAGTATGATGCAGTTTTTGAAATGCAGTGTTGTATTGTACTAAGCATTTTGTCAGGTTTTGTCTAATCTGAATTTCACTAGATGAAGCCTGTGTTTTTCCAGATCTGGTCTAGTTTGGGGTGATATGCAAGACTTTGGAGTGGAAGGGAATCTCACACAACAGGATTATTTTTCACATCTACCCCAGTACCTCCCAAAAAGCCTCTCCTGAGGGATGGAGGTACCTCGCTAACAATGTGGATTGTGTTTTATGTGGTAGTAGAGGGAGGAGAAAACATGGAAATCTGGAACAGCGCAAGATTCCACTGCTCCCCATCATCCCTGCAGCCTATGGGTCCCTCTGATCCTTTGGAGAGGGTTTAGGAGGGCATGGAGGGAGGAACAGAGGAAAGATTTCTTGCCCAGTCTTCCTCCTGCCCTCCAAAATGGGATATTCTTTAGTTTTTGCTTCACATCAAACATAACAGAAAACTATCATCACATGCCATAGGAGAAAACTATCCACTTTCAGTTTCAATTAACTACAGTTTCCTTAATGTTCAGATGCAAGGTGCGTAGTCTAGTAAGAACAAAGCAGAATCAAACCATTATTTCTGTTCCTGTTTTGTTCCATGACTAGAGTCTGAACAAGTGACAGTTCTTTGATTTCAGACATTATGGAGAAGGGAGTAGGTTGTAAATTAGGAGTTTCCTGCCCTGCTCCTCTGCTGTGCGCTGTGAGTCAGCCCAAGGCTTGTCACAGCTCACGCCCAGAATGGCAGAATAGGGTTTCTACTGTGTCTTTTTCTTTCTCATGATGCCCTTTATCAGCGTTCCTAAAATAGTTACCTTTTCCATTAACAGCTTTCTTCTAAAGGGAAAACCATGGCAGCCGAACGGACGTGTCCTTCGGTATCTGGGAATACAAACAGGAAGATCAGTAAGTAAAATTGCTAAAAATGATTTGAAATTGCACCCAGAATTGTTTTCCTTTGGCAAATAAATCCAGCACTGTAGGGTCTGACACAGTGGGATGTAGGTGGTGGTTACATACAGTATTTAAAGACATCCTCATTACTTTGTACAACTGGTAAGTGCAGGTAGCCATAAAATACTTGCCCAGGGGTGTTTCCAGATCAGGTGTTAATGGAGTAATAGTTCTGCCATCATTCATAAATGTCTGGGGTGCAGATGGCATCATTTCCACTTGTATTTTTCCACCATTTTCTCTCTTTTTCTTTTCCCAAAAAGTCAGTGGGGTGATGTGGGAGTGAACATCAGCACTCTATGACCAGGTGTTGTGTGGCCAGGGCAGCAGTGGGTAAGCTGCAGTCCAGCTGATGTTTTGGCCTTACGTTCCCTCTTCTCTTGCAATTGGTTATACCAGCAGAGGCAGATGGGAGTGATACACCAGAAGCTCTGGACAGCCACCTCTGGTCTATAATCATTCCAGAACAGGCTTGAAAGCAAAATACGGTAATTGTTTATGTGGGGCAAGAAAGGGGAGGGTTACGTTTATTGCCTTGTTTTACCTTTGACCCACCCCACTTTATCATTTGAAGCAACTCGTGTTTCATGTCTTTCACTAAGCTTCTGGAATAGTTTAAGGTGTATCTTTGCGGAATGTGACCCCAGATAGCTCAAGGTAGCAGTTGTCTCTGTCATGTGGCTAGTTCCTATTTTCACTCTGTTCTTCAGTAGCATATTTTCAATTGCATTTTGCTATTTGATAAGTTAAATTTAACCAGAGAAAGTTTCTGGAAATGTATCTAGTTTGGGAACAAGTTAATTCTAATTAATCTCATGCCATGCTCTTCAATTTGTTTTAAACTCTGGCTAAGACAACCTGTTCTCTAGGTCTCAACTGATGCCAGTTTTGTGAATACAAAGTCCAGTTCTGTCTAAGCGTCTCTCTGGTCTGAGTTTTGCCTCCCCAAACATAAGTGAATGAAGGAGCATCATTATAGTCAATTGTAAGTCAGGGAAAGCTTACACAGACATTTCCCAAGGTATTTAAAATGCAACACGTGTTTTGCCCGCCAAACGGTACGGGACAGGGCATTCCCTAGAGCGAGCGCTGCTACTGTGAAGGCCCTGCTTTGAGATGCAAGGTCTTCTCTAAAAATCTGCTGAATCAAGTGGAGCTTGAAGATGGACATCACTCTTTCTCTATCACCAGAGCATTCTGTCTTTTTTCATGCTTAAGCACTGGCGCACGCGCCGAAGGATTCTTACGCCCTTTTGATTCCTTCTGTTGCTTTCAGTATAATCCTGTTAATATCGATGCAGTCATAAACCCCACACCATTCCATGGAGCTTACTGCCAAAAAAGCCTATTCATAGGATTGCATCCTGAATCTGCTTCCTACTGCCCAAACTAGTGAATAGCCTGCAGAATGCTCTGTGTCACGAGAGCTCCAGCTACGGGCGAACATAGAAATAAGAAATAAATCAGAGCTGGTGTGGCTTACAGTGTCACAGCCTTGGCATCTCTAAATCTCCAGGGATTTCGAGTCAGCCAGTCACCCTGCAGGCAGCTTCTTGGGAGCAACTGGGTACATTCTCTACACTTCTCCCGGCCTTTTGGGAACGGCCTTTTCCTCTCCTTCTGCCTGGGTAGGATAAAAGATTATTTCCATCTGTTCTATTTATTGGTAAAGCTTTCCTAGTCACCACCCATGATTCCCTCAGAAGTTCCAGGTTCGCTTGCTGTGCCCTCCAGTCAGTCCAGGCAGCTTACGCTGAGCGAATTGCTGGAGCTGCTGTGACTGGTGCCTCTTGGCCATGTTTGCTTTACAGCTGACTATGAGCTTGCCCAGCTTCAAGACAAGCTGAAAGAGACGGAAGAGGCCATGGAAAAATTAATCAGTAGAGTGGGACCCAACTGTGAGAGGTAAGTGTTTTTGGGCTTTCTTCTTTTGGCAGATTGACAAAGGTGAATTCTTTTTTGGAATGTCTATGCAGAATAGACAGTTCAGGCAAACCTGCTTTTAAATCAAGAGATGAATCTCTTGAAGATGTTGGACACTAGTTTGTCATGGTTTAACTTTGCTTTTCTCTGATGCTGTGTTTAAATGGAAGTGTTGAATTTCAGTTTGCTGAGAAGAAATGTGCACCCACGATTTTTAGAGTGGTCCCTTTAATTGCTTGTTGTTCTATTGTTCTGTTGAAAAACACAGTGATTGCAGAGATCTCATACCTACTCTAAGGAATCTATATAATCTATACATTTGGAATCTATATGAAATAATTGCTTCTGCAATATATTATCTTCTTAAATTCTATTTCATAATACTTATATTTAACTTGTGCTTAGTGAGTGGAACAGGGGGAGTTTCCCCATATAGAAGTGTAATGGTATGGGGAAGAAGACTGAACATCCCTTATTTAGGGAAATCAGAACAATAGAGATATGCCGTATTTTTCGCTCTGTAAGACGCGCCTGACCATAAGATGCACCTAGTTTTTAGAGGAGGAAAACAAGAAAAAAATATTCTGAATCAAATGGGCACATAATCACAGGCACATTCCCCATCACTTCCCCATGGGCTGCACATCTGACAGACTTACTGCACACACACATTCGCTCCATAAGACGTACAGCCATTTCCCCTTACTTTTGAGGGGGGGAAAAGTGCGTCTTATAGAGCAAAAAATATGGTAATTGTTATACTCAGTATTAATCTTTGTTTATTCAGAGCATGGAAGAGGAAGCATCTTAAATTCTGTGAGGATTCTGACAAATGTTGCCCAAACAAATAGCTTATATACTAAGAATACTATTTGCTTGCATTCAAAGCAGATTGTATTAATATATTCTTCTCTATTCTTACACGGAGCACTGTTTTTTTTCTTTAAGATTTAGCTTCCAATATGGGCATTTTTACTCAGAATCCCACTAAATTCAATGGATCTTATTTTTAAATAAAAAGTGTTAAGGATCCATGGTGCAACTAGGTAATTTTAAACCTTGGACTTCATAATCCCATGAAAGGGCCCTTTGGAGGACCATGTAAATTCTCCACTTAGTTATTAGTTAGTGATTAGTTAATTATTTGGTTATTCATTATTTGTCTACAATCAGAACTGTTACTCCATCCGTTCAAATTGGGCCTGTGTTCGTGCCAGCCCTGACTAGACCCGTTAGGGGCCCCGGTCTGCCCTCTGGCATTCCCTGCATGAGAACCTTTTTCCTCCAAACCACTGATTGGTCAGTAGTTCTTGGGCTTTCTGTGAACCCTTTTCCCCATTCTACAAGATAAATCTCGGAAGACGTAGCTACTACCGGTAAGAGCTTGAAGTAAAGGTATGCTGGCGTTTGGGGTATTTTGAGCCACTATGGTCCCAAAGAGCTCCAAAATAGAATTTGGTCCTACCCTGAAAAAATGTTCCGCACCCCTGATGTCCTAGACAACAGCTTGCAAAAGTTGTGAATATCAAGCCAAGCGGTACCCATCGGTGCATACACATGTTATGATTGTACAAATGAGAAATGGGAATGGATAGATTTGTCCAAGCATCTTCTTGGGCATGGAGCTTCAGATGGTCACCATGGCTGTGCTGCAAACAGTCAGGTGGGTTGCATTATGCAAATATGCAAAATCAGAAACAAACACAAGCAACTTCACAGCTATCTGTGGGGAGTTTTTTAAAATTTGAAAAACTATGTAAGTAGTTTGAAGGCTTTCCTCTTTCCATGACATTTAATCTGCATGGCAAAAATGATAAAAAAGAGTGAGTCACTTGATCTCTTTCAATAAATGAAAATGAAAATATATAAAAGGTCACTCATTCCACTTACTTCCCAGTCTTTAATGCCTTCGGGTCTTCTATATAATTGCTCAGTATCCAGCATTTCTTTTAGTATGAGCAGTAAAATGAATTGCTAAATAAAAGGAGAAAATGCACTCAGACAAAGATTTGAGTGGTTCTTTCAGGTCAGGATATGAAACGCAGGCACCTGCCTCCTTGCTGCATTGGCTGACCCAGCTCTGCTGCCCCTCTGTCCTTTTCCTTCCCTCACCAAATTGGTGTTAGGATCTCTAGTCCACCACAGAACCTTCACTGCCACACAAATGACTTTTGCAAACATTCCATGAAATCAAACTAGTTCATTCAAAGGGTGGGAAATGGTTACAAATGTGAGGCAGCAGTTTGATTTTGTTTTATCTATAATATTCCAGTGCAAGGTCCCTGTTTGCAACTGAATTTAGAACAGCCGGTATCTAAATGAACGTGATAGGCATGTCGTGAGCGAAGCCGGCTGGAGCTGGAGGTCAGACTAGATGGCCCAGGAGACCCCTTCTGGCTCTCTCTGTTTCTATGCTTCTAAATACCACCTATAAATTCTAGAGGTTCATTAAACTGACTTAGGGCCGTTACTGCCTTGAAAGGCATTTAAGGCAGAAGAAAGGCCTACAGTTCCCAGCTTTCCTCAGGCAGCTGAGTCGGCCTTGTACTTTATCTAAACATGTATAGGAATGTGCCCATAACCACACTGTATGTTGCTTCTTTACCTGGTATGCTGTCTGTTCATAGGTTTGTATGTAAATAGTTATGTTGCACACAATAGATTTGTAATGTGTTTGTAAACAGCCCACAGAGTGGTATAGAACTGAAATGAGTAACTCACTCAATGAATGAGTTTGAAAGATGGATCTAGGCACGTCAGCCAGCTTGTCCCAACTGTCCTGTGTCCTCCTGTTCTTTTGGACTTCACGTTCCAGCAGGGCCTGCTATCACTGGAGTCATAGTCTGGCTCACTTGGAGGTACCAGCCTGGGGGAGGCTGCTGAATAGGGGTTCCTGGGGTGTGCAGTGAATAGCCAGGGCGGCACAGGCTTCTTTCTCCTCTAGTGATCCGAGCAGGTGCCAGCGTGCCGGCCTTCTCTTGCCCACAGCCGTCAGTGCCAACAGGCTGCGTAGCCTGATAGTCCTCGCTGCATCCACATATGCACCTCTGTAGGGCCCTCTCATGCCATGACATCATGTAGCCCCTCGCCTTTTTCTCTCCTTTTCATCAATTTTCTTCTCACTGCCCCTTCAGTCAGTCATCCTTCCTGTTATCCCACTGAAAGGCTTGTGCAGAGATTTGAGAACTGTGCCTCTAAATGTCAAAGCAGAGGGTGGGCAGCTGGGGGCTCTGCAGAGGTTTTGGCTTGCTGCTCTTGGAAATCCTTACCACTTATTGCCAGTGGGATGTAAGGCTAATATATCTGGGGGGGGGGGGCAACCAGTTCCCCATCCTTTGTCTAAAACCGGAGACACTGCCAAGTTAACAACCACAGGTTGCAGCTCTGTGTTTTTTAATTCTTGTCTCATAGCAGAGCCCAAAATTCCACAACTAACCAAGAGAAAAGGCTGCTTCAGCAATTGCGAGAAATTACTAAGGTCATGAAAGAAGGCAAGCTCATAGATGGAATCTCCCCAGAGAAAGAAGCTGAAGAGGCTCCTTATATGCAGGACTGGGAAGGTGAGGAGGAGGACTTTTTGGTTCTGTCTGAGGGCAGCGTGAGTGTGTGTGTGGGCGGAGGGGGGTGCCTTGCTTAAAGAACAGGAAGCCGTTAACACAGGAAGCCATTTGGGATTCTGAGCCCCTGAGCACCTGGCTCTCTTCGTTCTTTCGCGGCTCTGTAGACCCGAAGAGAGAGCCACGTCAGTTTCTTAAGTGTCTCAGGCTGTCCGACTGCGGAGTACTGTAGCACATGCCTGAGAGCTTACAGGGCTGTTCCTCAAGCCCGCTTCCCATCTCGTGTGCTGGGAAGGGCTGTAGTGGGCAGCTTGAAAAGCAACAATGGCCTGAGACTTGTTGTGCCTTTGAAGGACAAGAGGGAGCCCCTGCCCCAATTCTGTGTACTGGACTGTTGGTCTATGCCCCCCACTGCACGCACACTGGGGCAGTGATGGGCTGCAGAGGCACACACCGCACTGCTCTCACACCTCTTCATGCTGTTCTGTGCCTGGTCTGATGCCTGTGATGTGGAAGAACCATGGCATCTCCAGGGTCTCCCTGGAGTCCTAGGTGTCAGAACCCCTTTAGTGTCCTTGCCTGCCAGTCTGCCGAGTTGGTGCAGTAGCTCTACCGGCCTGGAGCTTTCCTCCCCACAAGGCCGCTGTTTGCAAGTAGCCCCATGCAAGTTGGGCAGCTGGGTGGCACTGCAGAACTCGTTGCCCGCCAGCCATTTGCAGACTTGGAGCTGCATCAGTCCAGCATTGTCAAACGTCAGGACTCATGGGAGGTACAGTGCAAAACAAATGAAAGGCACCATGTTGGTGGATACTGAGTGAAGGAAAGCCGAACAAACTGGAAAACAGTTAAAGTGTTGTAATGTAATGTAGTGAACTGTTCTTCCCAGTTAGGCAGTGGGAGGGCATATTTGATCTAAGAAGACAGTGTGTTAGCTCCCCATTTGTTGGACATGGTTAGTGGGGATCTATTCCATACAGATTCTGGGGAGGATTGAATCTCATTCTAAATGCATTCGATTTCAGTACTGAAGCCATCTCCTCTGGGAACAATCCTAAGTACGTAGAATTGAAAGTAAATGCACCTGAAATTAAAGGTGTCGGTTGAATTTAGAAACTCTTAGAATAGATCCAACAATGCTATGCGTTAAGATGTTCCATCTAAGACAAGTTTATTTTATATCCTAAGGTTATCCAGAAGAGACCTATCCTGACTATGATCATTCTGATTGCTTCAAGCGCAGACAGGACACAATTCTTGTGGATTACCCTGACCCAAGCCAGCCTTCTGCTGAAGAGATAGCAGAGCGAATGGAGTTTGTGGACGATGAGGACTGTTTGTGTAGTGAAACCCTTTTGTCTGCTCTTGCCATAGTGAATGACGGCCTTGCAGCAGGACAGGAGAAGGACCAGTGTGTTCCATTCAGCAACCAGTGTGAGACTGACCACCACTTGGAGAAGTGCTACTGTTGTTACTACGAGGACGACGACCCTGCTGTGATAGCGGAGAATGCAGGGTTCTGCTCCGATAGCTGCAGTGAGACAGAAGAGGCAGCAGCAGGGGAGCAGCTGGTGGATTCTGACCTTGCGAATGCAGAACCCAGAGAACAAAACGATGGAAATCCTGATGGAATTGGCATTCTGAGAAAGCGAAACACAAAGGGACTCGAGTTGCTGGAACACTGAGCATTGTGTGTCGCCATGTCACTTCTATAGGCTGTGAGCTCGGCTTTTAGGGCAAGCGCTTATCTTCTCCATTGTGTACTCAGCTGAAATCCCATAGCAGTAGGCAGGTGGAGGCAGCCCATTCAGGTACTATTAAGGGCAGCTAATTATCCATTATTATATTTGAATGCTGTAGGAGGTACAGTGTAGTTTTTGTTTGCCTTTGCTTGGACTGGCCTTTGCTAGCAGACACAAGCCTTTCCATGTTTCTTACTAAGTGAAGTTTTAGAAAGTGATGGGGGTGTCCTGGTACCAGCCCTCTCATGTAAAGTCTTCTTTTTCTTGGCTGATCAGCAAAGTACTATTGTACAAATCAGCGGAGTGACCCTCCCATGTTCTCTTCCTGCACAGTGAACGGAGAGCAGGGATCTTTTCCCCATATCACCAGTGCATGATTAAGGGGAATGAACAGTCTGTCTCGCCTCATCTATGGCTCAGCATTTGCATCTCTTCCTTTAAAACATGGCTTGTGCCCACACCATACTTAACTTCTAAGAGTAATGTTTTTAGTCTAATGGATGAGGGAGGAGAAACAAAGCAGTTGACGGGCCAGTGTGTGCTGTGGTGAAGCCAAACGCATCTGGTGGTGTGGTGCTTAGCGCGTTAGGCTGGGGAGATCTGGGTTCAAGTCCCCGCTTGGTCATGAAGTTCACTGGGAGACCTTGGGCCAGTCAGTCATTCTCAGCCCAAACCACCTCACAGGGGTGTTGTGAGGATAAAAGGGAGCTAGGCAAGATGCCTGAAATTCTTCACAAAAGAAGTTAGGGGAGAAATGCAGTGTAATGTCATCTGCAAAATTTTAGTAGCAAACAAGGGGGTGCCCATGGATTAAACAGTAGCAGAGAAGCTCTCTCCTCCTCTGAGGCCCCAGATTACATGTGCCACAGTCACTTGTGACTTTATTCCACTTTTTTGAACAGTAAAATGCAGGTGCAGAGGCTACTAGCTAGAATGGAAGACCAGTGTGGGGAGAGAGGAGTTTCTTATTCAGTCCCCTATGCATTTTTCCACTAAAATGGTTTTTGTTTTTCTAGTTTAACATTGTAATTATTTATAAATTATGATAAATTATTTATATTTAGTTATATTTTATATGTTATATTTATTTCTTATATCGCTTCAAGGATTACTTTTCCCACCTGAGAGCTTGGCTTTAGACAGAAGACAAGAAGAAAAATCAGTTTTTTCCTATGCCAAGTTTTTTGCAGTGCAGTCCTATGGCGCATGCTTGCTCAGGTGTAAGCTCCACTGTGGTGTTTGCTCTCAGGAAAGAATAGATAGATTCAGGCAGGCAACTAACCATGTCTATTCAGGAGGTCCTATTACATTCAGTGAGACATATGCCCAGATAAATGTGCATAGCATTGTTCTATGTGGGAGTAAGCCCAGCATAGTTGCAGTTCACATGGTCAAACAGCCCACAGTTAATAAATCGTGAGGTCTCTGTGCGCATGAATAAGGAATCGTAGCTCCCACCTGCTCACTAATTTCTGTTCTCTGAAACACTCAAGGACCACCCTCTCCCTGGGTTGTTGCTGTACCATGTGAACCCAGAACACTTGGGAATGTTTGGGGTTAAACAACTCATAGTCGTTACATGTCAACCAGGTCTTCTTTCATACTGATATATCATACAGATGTGTCAGACAGATTATCTAGCTGTGAATATCTTCAGAAACAGTGTTTGAACTAATTCCACAGAAGTGTTCTGACTAATGCATAGTGTTGCATTTCAGCAGTTAAATTGTAATAGAAAAGTGGGAAGGATGAAATGGAGTGCAAGTTGCTTAAAAATTGTGTCTTCTCTCACACATAAGGATAGCATAGAAAAGAAGATACCTCTCTCTGTGTGTAACATTTATAGCGTCTACTGTCAGTAAGTTTGCCAGGTAACCCCCCTCCACCAAACTTTTACTAAGCAGGGGTTGGAATATACAAAGTTTGACCAGCAGATTTTTTGTTTTAGAAGCTCCCGTTCCAGGAATAAGGGACTTAGATAATTCCGATCGACACACGCCTTCAACAAAGCCTATTTTTTTTAAATTGTTCATCTTTTCAACACCATTTTGTGGCTTATGGAAACCTACTTTGAAATTAGTTTGTAATATTGAGTAATGGAATATTGTAGCAGAAATATTTAAGTATTTTTAATTCATATTTATTTTAACTTATTTATTTATTTGAATAAAGTGTGGGGCAACATTTCAGTACAACTTTTCTTTGTGTCAATGTAAGTTTTTGGGAAATAGTAGAAAATAATGATAGACTGTTACAAGTTTCTGTTTTTGAGGCTGAAGTGGATTATGGTTTCCACTTCTTATGCTTTTAACAGCTACATGGTAGGCAGAAATTTTACAGGAATGCAACTGCAGCAATTCAACTGAGGAAGATGTTCATGTTCACCAACTAGACAGGAATCCTATCAGGAAAAATAGGTGGCAGGATTAAGACGGAAGTGGTTATTGTTAGCTAAGTGAGTAACTTAGGCATGTATAGTAAATGAGTAAGAATAGTTGCAAAAGAAGCATGTAGGATAATTGGGGGGAAATACACAACCGCTTGAAACAAATTCAAGTTTTAATTTTTTTTCTCACAGATTTTCTGTATTGACATATACTGTAATCTACAACATACACAACGTAATTATGTGAAAATACCAAATTAGTTATACACATACTGATAAATAAATACATTTGCTTCAGAATACCAAAGTGTTTCTTTAAAAATTGACTTCATAAAAGCACATTTTCTCAGATTTATCTAAAACTCCATATAGTTTGAAACCAAAGAATGCCTGACTGCTGAAACAGGACAAGACAGTCTTGTGCAAATTGACATAACACATTCTAAGCATTATGCAAAAATATGACTGTTTAAATATTTGTTCTCAGTCCTAATTACTCTTAGCCCACCTACTCCCTTCCCTCCTTTTAAATGACATACAATTTAAAACAAATTGAGACAGGAACATTGTCAAATTCTACTAGAATGATCATTGGTTTGTTTTAAGAAAGGCACAGTGATGGATTAGAAAATGTTAGCCATGGTAGAAAGCGTTGCTAGCAAATTTTGTTCACCTAGCACCTCCCATTTCCATGTTCTACGATTGAAAAGTGAGCTGAAATTAAAAACAAAACACAGGTTCATTATTAAAAGATTCCAGATATTCTGGGCTCAATTCTAAAAAGACACATGTCTGGCTATATATAGTATATGTAACAAACCACTTGTTTTGTGATAAGATGGACCCTTCAGAGTGCAGTGCCACTTACGCCAGTTTACCTTCAGTCGTGGGCAGGCCGCTTCAGGACTGGGGACCATCTGCTCCTTAGTGGCCATTTTTAAGCTGGGGACCAAGGCAACTTGGCCATTTGAAACTGATATGAGACCATTTCCATCTTTTGCTCTTAGAATTAGCATTTTTACGTCAGTATTTTATATCTGTGTATTGAACTGCTAGGATGGAAAAACCTTGATGCTGTAATCCACTGATTTTTGGTTGGGTTGATCATGATGCCACTGACATTAAATGCCCTGAGTGTCAAGCAAGAGAGGATGAGGGTAGACGTTAAGTCATTAATTAAGACATTATGGGAAACACTAAAATTGACTGCAACTGTTACACTATGCTCCAAGTAAGCAACATGAAAAAAATAGAGATGCTTTTTGCCAAGTTCTTTTACAATTAATTCATAAGGAAAACACCATGCCCCACCCACAGTACTGGCTAAATATCAAGAGCGGGATGCTAAGAGGGGATCAGATCCATACATTTTGGCTGGCCTTGGCCACTGGCTGAAACTTGTGCTTAGGCGTGCCTTAAATTTGCATAGGAGCTGGCTGTGAGAAAGGGCAAATATTTTCTAATTGTCCAACCAAAGAAGCAATTAAATTCTCATTAGCAAGTAACTTACCCACACAGCACATGATGAGAGGAAAACATTCTCTGCATCAAAACTACTTTGAATTTCAGGGGAAGAAGATTGCAAAACTGATGGTTCCCCCACCTTCTCTCTCTGTCATCATCATGAACATCATCTGTGCAGCTCAAAAACTACCTATTAGTAAGATTTTTCTCTATTTTTTGTGTGTAGATCTGGGTGGAGTGGGGAGAATATTCAAGCATGTCATGCCCCGCACCTGCAGCTTGAGATTGCAGTTTTGCCTAATGGAAGGGCCTAAATGATCCAATAAAAGAATAGCCTCTATATGTTTTTAAATATTGGAAGTAGTCATTCAGATTAGCAGTTTTGAATGGAGCTGGCAGACCAATCCTCATGTTAGGATCTGACCACATAGCCTCCAACACAAACAAAGCTCAACAGGAGTGCGGAGCAAGCCATCAATTTCCATCACTGCCTCCTTCCACGGCTATTGTTTGATTCTGCTACCAAGCCCACTGAAACCGGGGGGGGGGGGGGAGTCTGCTCTATATTAGCTCCAAGGTTGGTATAAACCTGGAGCCATGGGTCAGGATCCTACAGTCTCCCGTAGCATGCCCAGTGATACACTCAAGGCATGCCTCCTTTTCCTTCTCTCAGAGATCAAATACAAAGGAGATTCCACACAGAGATCTGGCAAGTCAGACCCGACCCCCCACCCCCGGCGAGCCAGCAGATCTGATCAATTCTGTGACCCCTCCCAGTAACCAAAGGATGACAGCCATAGCACATAAAGGCATTTTAGAATGGTTAAGCCTTTGGCTCTGACCCGGCAAATACTTTTTCCTTTATTTGATGTGAAATCCACCACCAAGATCTTAATCTTGCTGCATGGCCTGAAGGTTAGTAATTGTAACTAAAAGCTCTGCAGTAGTTATTTTGGAGCTAAAGGATACTGCCAGCTTTTTTCTCTGCTTACACACTGTGTTTCTAAAATAGCTGCACTTTTGTCATTTTACAGAAATTCTATGCATTGCCTTAACAATCCAATTTACATTTCACTGCATTATTTCATGCCTACAGCCCACCCTTTCCAACAGAAGGAAAATTACAATTTCAAGACCATGTATCATTAAAATAAAACTGAATTAAAAGAATCCCTTGTCATTTAAGGAATCTGCCAAGACATCATCAATTATGCCTTTTTAAGAGGTTGATATTCAAAAATGGGAAGATGTGGGTAGAAAAATGTCCCCAATTCATAATCTCACTCTCAGCAAGTGTGCCATAACTTTGCAATACTGCAGCAACTAATAAAGTGCCTCATAAGAGACACAGTAATCTGGTAGCCAAATTGTGTACTTGCTTTTATTTCTGGCCGAGATGGGTTTGACTAGTTTGAGATAGCTCCCACATAGGGGGCATGCACAGTACAAAATACCACCCGTTTTCTGCCTGGGAAATGCAGCTTGGTGCGGGCGCTGCAAGGCCAGTAGGAGCAGCAGTGTTCAGCTGTTCCACCTTCAGGAAACCCTTTCTACAAAAACGTGCCTGCTGAGTTACCCTTGCGCATCTGTCACAAAAACCCTTGTGTGTTGCAGTCTAGTCGATGAGATTAATGATGGGGGCTAGTTTCTCTAAAAGAAAGACTGCCCATTGTGAACAGCTTGCATAGAAGTTGGGCCTGGCTTGAATGTAGCTTGAATATCTCTGTTCTGGGACACATTTTAAAACACACTCCAGCCACGGGGAAAATTGACCACAGTGGACACACTTGATTGCATGGGATGGTCATTAACAATCGGCAGTTCCTTTCTAGGGAAACTTGTGCATCATTACTAATTTCATTAATTAGTTGTGGGGGAACCTGAGTTCCCTGAAGCACAGTCTGGAAACCAGAATGGTCCTACCTCATTTTCTGAAGCAATGCATATCAATTGAGTTTAAGCCTTTTATGCAGCTATCTTTTTAGTTTCTGGTGCCTGATTATATTTCGATCATGTGGGCATTAATACAATCATGGTTTGATCCCCCCCCCCTTTTTTCTTTTGTGAATCAGTGAAAGCCAAGGACAAGGACCACGGCCAAAAAAAGTCACAAAAGGAAGTAACACAAGGCCTTCCCTGTGCTATTTAATAGATACAGAAGTGAACACATCCTACCCTGCTGATTAATAGCTAACTAACACCAAACCTATTTGTGGTTATCATGGAAACATTACTTAATTGCTGACAGTCAGATGCCTGCCTTCTCACAAGATTGCCTTCAATGGGGTTCATTCATAGGATAGTACATGCATGCATTGCAGCCTTTGAATACATTTGTTATCTCTCTCTTCAGACCATGTCTTCATATAAATTGAGGGATTCAAATCAAAATTCATTCAGTTGCCCATTTCTTTGGAAGATATTTCCTCTATTAGTAAACATTTCAGTTGCTTTTATACTAAAAGTCAAAAAGCACAGGAATCTCAGGATGAACCAAGGTTTTTATATGTTAACCATTCTTAAAAGTATTAAAAGTTACTGATTACCTAATAAGAGTTAGCCTAGTCATAGTTACAGGCCCTGTCAGATGGGCCTCTTAATTGAATTCTTGCATGCAATGATATAAGATAAGGGATTGGAGAATCGTGGAAATTGCCACTAGCTTCAAGGAAAAGTATGTCTGAAGCTTTTGGTGCACGTGGCGGGGAGAGGTGTGGGGAGTTTCCCTCCACAGTGGTGGTGCTCAAGGGGACATACTCATTAGCTCGGCTAATTCCCCTGAATTCCCCTGCTCAGCTGCCTCCCTCCCTCCGATAATCCACCTCTCCCAGCCCCCCCCCCCCCCGGCTCTCTCTGCATCACATTTATTTTGATAAAAGCAGCTTGGGAGACAGAAAAAAATGGAACAGCAGAAGGGGCTTCTCCAAAATGCATTTGGAATCTAATCTAATCTAATCCAATCCTGGGGAAAAAGGCAGTGGTTACAGAAGAACCACCACAGGAAAAGGTGTTAAGGCTATTTCTCCATTCTGTTCTTTTTAAGGAGGGGAAATGGCCCTCAAGGGCAAGCTCACAGTGTATGTGTGCAGCAATAAGACAAGGCTCACAGCGCTGAGTGTAAAATGTACGAAGAGACCAGTGGGCCAGTGCAAGGTACATGTCCGTGTGCACGTGGCTTCTGCATGTGGAACGCTCCTGCTGACTGGGGTCACTGGCAAAAAGCGAAACAGCACAGCGAGGGCAGCACCAGAGGCAGAGTCCAAAAGAGCTGAGGCAAACCTCAGAAGAGCTCTCGGTAGCAGCAGCAGTTGATATGGTGGAAGAAAAACTGTGGAGTGTTTTTAGAAGTTGGTCTCTGTTGCTGACCAGGGTGTGAACTGTGCTAGACTTCAGGTCAGTAAAAAGCAGGTACTTGGTGAAAGTCGAGAAAGTTTGTAGATCAGGGCTTGCTGTATGAACATGCAGCGCTCTGTGGAAGTAATGCTATACATTTCACTACCTATGACGCGGCCAAGAAAATGGTATTGTTTAAGTTTGCAATCACATTGCATGTATATATATGTAAATCTTTTGTCACAGGGTGGCCTCAAAACTTTATTTAAATTTATAAATAAATTTTCCTAAATAAATATTTATTTAAAATAAATATGACATGGCTAAAGTTAAAATTACAAGTAATTACTTTTGGTCAGCTAAAAGGGTTGTTCTAATTAACTGGGCAGCAAATATTGAAAAAATAAGTATTTCTAAGAACTGCGGATGGCAAGCACCATCTTAAAAAAAAATGAGACCCCCCCCCCCCCTCACCCGGCTTACATAGTAGGGGATGGCCCTGGAACTAGGAAGGGTTGGAGAAGATACACAACTTGTACTGCCGATTTTTTCCATGGAAGAAAATAGACTGGGTCAGGTTGCATGGCATCTGGCTCCCAAGAAAGAGTTCAGACACGTCGAGCAATCTAGGGTGCTTTTTGCACAAAAGTAATGCTGTATTCCTAATCCTACTGACTGGAGAGCAAGGTTCCCTGGGACCTGTAAATAAACATGCTTAGGATCGTCCTGAAAACATTTCTTTTTTTGAGTATTAGCTTGGACTTGGCCACTCTTCTTTTGTACATGACTGAAACCAGGCCTCATTAGTCTCAAGGTCCGGTCTGTTACGAAATCCAAACTGTACCAATGCGATGCTAGGCACATCTCTTCTGAAGGAAGAACTGTTGTGTTCCCTGGGACTTACTCCCTAGGAAGCCTTTTCTGCACGGGAGCTTCCAGCTTTTGGGAAAAAGCTGCAGCATAAACTTTATTAAAGTTAACCCTTGGAACAATATAGGAAGGATAGAAATAGAATATCATTTATATAGAATTTTATAAGCTGGTTTTAATTTATTTGTTTTTCATTTTTATTCTCATCTCACAGAGTGACAGAATTATGCCCACCCTAATCTTTCATTTCCCTGACATTTACACAACAATCATTTTGATATTTCAGCTGCTCTGTGATGAAAACTGTGCAGAAATAAAAAAAATTCCCTCACTGGAGAAAGTACTGGAGCATTTTTAGCCAAGCATCTACTCTCTTCTATTCTGCATAATATGTAGGATTTGGCTCTTAGTCTTTTGCAGAGAAGGAAGGAAGGATGAAAGGAAGAAGGGGCAAGGATAGCACAAGATATGGGAAGAGAGGGCACTCCTGTTGGGGACCCTTTATTCCACTCTGCTTTTACCACTGTCAAACCAGCTCCTGCAGAGAAGCGCCACTTTCATTTCTCATTGCTCTGCAATTGCCACCGGCAACCCAATTGGCAAACATCCAACTGTACTGCTGTGGCGACTTCTTGAACCCCTGAAATCAGTGCTAAAGAAAAGCAAGGAGCAGCAAAGGGACCTCAGAATGATGAACTGACTTCCATATGCATATGCTCTCTGGAACGAGCACTCAAAGCAATCGGGATGCTCTCGCCTGCTTTGCTCTTAACACTCCTTTCACTGGAGAAATGAAATGGTAACAAATGCCATCTATGAACTTATGCCGTGTCCTCAATTTTCCAGTGCAGTGGAAGCTAACACCTGTAAAAAGAAAAAACCTGGATACTATTTTTCTAAAATAGGATCTTATCGTGTGCGTTCTCCCTCTGTATGCGGGAAGGCAGCAAATGCTTGCCAGACCATTTGGATGTGCAGGATAAGTTTCTGCGGCATCGGGGCAGGCAGATCTGGCACTGAATTCAGATCACTGGGATTTCTTAGGTGGCCTGTAAAAGTTCCTGCCCTTGGAAAGATCTCGCTAGGTGCAAACTGCATCTGTGCTTAGACCGCCTATTTAACTATGACATCTAAGGGTCAAACCAGTTATCACTTTTAACTGTGTAGCTAAGAACTACCACTTTTTAATGTGTTTCCTCTAGAAAGGGGTTTTGGGCTCCCGATGTGGACTGGAACCCTAGCATTCCAGTTACAGAGTCCTTAAGATTTGGACGAGAGGCCCTGTACCTGTCTGAGAAGAAAAACAAAAGAAAGACATGGAGGCTAGACATACTTTGAAAATAACACCTGTTTTGGCCTTCAAAGCTGCCAGAATTATTCCCATTTAGTGAAGCGTGAGGAGTCCATCCCTCCATGCTAATCCTTTAAAAAGCCACAAAAATCAATGCCCATTAATATATCTGGTGCCTGTCCTGATTTTACTGTCTGTGCGTGTTCTAAATTGACCCCACCTTCTAGTATCATGACAAAGAAAACTTGTATTGATCCATTTCTCACCATGCCACACACAGTTCACAATCTTTTATCATGCCTCCTTTTTGTGATCTCTCTCTCACACAGACCTTGAATATTTGGTTTATTCAGCACTTCCTAATGACTGGCAATGACATAACACATGCAATTAATACAAGCATAAGGAGCAGCTTTTCTCTCAAAGCTGTTTTATTGTTTGGGAGGGCAGAGGAAACATCCCTCTTTAAGATTCTAGGCTACTGTCCCTGAGGCCATAAGACTCCTTTCTAATTGTTTCAGACTTCAAACTGAAAAGCAGAAGTCAGGCCATGCAGCTGGGCTTGCGCTGGGCAGTTCATTCGGTTCTTAGCTAACGCATTAACAACAACGCCATCTTGTGCTCCACTGCCCTGCTCCCCACAAAAACATGATATGGAAAGCTGGAGCACCAGCCTCTAATCTGAAACCTGGATTTTTTTTATCCTAAAAGATGTGCTCCCTTGCTATGTCAAAGAAGTATCTTCTCTTGAAGAAAAGCAAATCCCTGGATTTAGCACATTTCCAATGGACTGATTCAGAATCTGAAATCTACAGTTTTCCATTTCTCATGTCACTCTGGCCCTACTCAGGCACTCTCTTACTGGGCCCAGCAAACACACCAGAGGAGCATTCCAGCCTCCTGCGGCCCCGCAGGCCAGAACCCAGATTCTGCGGCATTCTGGCTTGTCAGGAGAGGGCTTCCCTGAAAGGGCTCTCCTCTTCCGACAGCTCCCCTCCACCAGTAAAAGGCAATGAGCATGGCAGCAGCTGCAGCATCACCTCTCCCCATGTGCCTGTGATACCTTGCAAAAGACTGCCTGAACAGGGCTAAATGTTGGTCCTGACCTGAGGCTCTCATTCCTATCCAGAAAGATATAGGGAATGAATGAATTAAAAAGCAGCAATAGTTCAAATTCAAACTTGTTTGTGGAAATCTAACCCTAACCCTGGTCCCCCATTTTAAAGAGCCCCCAAAGTGCTAAGGGATAGCCAAAATTCATGTGCAAGCATGGATACAGTCCAGAAGGATGCAAACTGTGCCCACAGCCCCTCCTTTCCAGTCACCGGAGAACTGCAAGTCAAGCAGAACAGGTGCTTCCCTACGTAAGATATTTGTTGTGTGTTCATCTTCCTCTACACATGGTTGTTTACAGGTTATTTAGACAACATCAAGACCTTCCTGTTTCACTTCTGCTTGTAAAAAACACCTCCATGAGGAGGAGTAGCAGTTTTTTTTAAAGAGCAAGGAGAATGGTGAAAGAAAGTGCGGTTCCCTTTGTCATGGTACACATAATCATAGAACACCTAATTATAACAGCTAACAGCTTTTGACTTAGAGAGAAGGGGCCATTTCGGAGTTGCTTAGAGAACAAAGAGGTCTTTTCATACCACAGCAGGGATGCCAGCTTGAATACATGAAAGGGCAGATGCAAAATATCAACCATCCATATCCCTACTCTGGTTTAAGCACCAGAGTGGAGCGCCACAGGCCTGGAGGTGTATCCGTAGGCATTCCCATGCCTGCAGGCCTCCCAGAGTGATCCCTGTAACCCTTGGACAGCTTAGAGGAAAGGGTTCTCTGTCAGCTGAATGCATCCAGACCTGTGTGCTCTCCCACAGCATCTTTCACTGCAGTGCCTTGCGCACTTCCATGTACTGCCAGCTGCATGCAACGCCTTGCTGCACGCCAGTCTCCAAATCAGAAGTAAATGGTCAATTTCCATTTCAGAAATGAATCAAAGTCAATCAAGAGTATTTTATGCTAGAAAAGGAACAAACAGGGGACTGGGATATATAAGAGCTTCTACTGGGAAATATTTTGAACTATATAGTACATATATGTTAAAGCAAGAACATTCATATGCCCTTCACAAGTTCCCTTTACATGTCACTTGCAATGTATTTGGGCAGAAAGTCTGGCTCTGTCTCAGATGTGGCACTTTCACATACCCAACTCTTACTTCATTGTATGGAAAATGAGAATTCTCAGAAGTTATGCTCAAAAGGGTGAAATAAACTTCCTAATTGTATTTTATAATAGTTCCAGTAACTTCTAAGCAGCTACTTTAAAGAGTTAGTCACATGAAGTTATCCAAATAATTTCATGCCACTGATGCAAATGTACCAGAAGAGAGGAAGCTTTCTTATTCTGGGGTTGTTTGCATGACCTGACAACCCACCATGGCGCATTTGATGCCTGGAGAGGAGGCAGCAGGCGCAAGGTGTGTGCAGCAGCTCCTCCCAGGCAGGGGTGGTTGTGCTGTGAGATCCCAGTGAGCTTAGTCTGCTTTTGTGTTTTGCAAGGGGTGTTTAACCTAGGCATAGCCCACACTGGCCAGTTTTGCAAGTCACGACAGATGAGGGCTGCATATGTAATTGGCATCCGTCGGCTCTGCAGCTCATCATCGATTAAGTAACCCACAAGGAGCCACAGCATGTGGATCCAAACTCAGTCTCTGAGTCAGACTTCAATCCATCCAGCCCAGGCTGTGGCCCGGTTTGGATAACGTGACAACTGCATGGGCAAACGGTTGTATATCCAACCCCATTCAGAGGTTCCTGTGTTGTGAACCCAGAGAATGAAATTATGCAACTGTTAAATCTGTTTCCCTAAATCAGACCAGCCTCTGTGAGTGTTGTTTAATGGGTTCGTACAACACAACCACCCCTCAGTTGGGTCTGATTTGCCAAATGGCAGCCACAGGCTCACTGTGAGTGAAATAATGCGTGGCGGACTGTTTTGTCATGTGAGCAGCCCTGTGTCTGCCTCCTCATGGTCACAGGTAAAGAATCCTCATTCCCAGTCCTGCTGCTTCAGAATCTTTACCTGAACATGCCACAGACTGACCCTGAGAGAACATACGGGCAACGCACATGCTCGCTCCCGCCCTCTCGCTCAAGCTTTGACACAGGAAAGCCCCCCAGTTTGACCTACTATTGCAATGCAATGGCATTTCTAGCATCCATATGGCAATTCTGCAGAATCCATATTTTCCTTTTTAAAAGCAATAATGGTCACATTTGAAAGTGAAATTGAACTTAAAGCACAATTTGTAAAATGACTTCTTGGAATACAAGTGACTTGTGCAACAACAACTTGTGCTTCCTGTTTCTCCCCCACCTATTCCCTACCAGAACTAAAAACTGATAAACAATATCTCAAATCAAGTTCATTCTTGGCATTGAGACCAAGCACGACCTTCATCATATCTTGTTTATGTTTCAAAAGTGCATCTTTCTCATGGCCTTGGTTCTAAGGTGAGTGACATGAAGCTCACAAGCTATGGAATGCCATCTTGAGAAACGCTTACAGCCTCTGAACACTTCTTCAGTCCAAAAACAGATCTGTGTTGCAACAGCTTTCATGGATTTAGAAAAAAGACACACCACTCCTGAGGGTGCTTCACTTAAGCCACGGTACAGTACATCATGGCACATTTCCATAACATAACTGAGGAGACAGGATAGGACTTCTATTTACACATCTCTGACGCCACTTCCAGAAAAATAGAGAAGAGATGGGAAAAAGTATTTCCTGAAAGTCCTGAATTTTAAAGTATTTTCTCTCCAGTGAAAGGCTCCTTTGAAAAACAAATTTTACCTGCCCCCAAAGGAGTATGAAACCACTGTTGATACCAACGAAAATGTGGAATTTTGTTGTCTTCTTCCGGTGGCACATGGTTTTGGCTGTGCTGAGGTTCACTCACAAGCCAGCTTGCTGTCAAAACTAGACAGGGCAATAGCAAAAGCTTGCAGTGCACACATTGGGTAGTTGTAGTCCATTGTGAAAATATCCTCAGCCACACGGCCAAACTGCATCACTATATAGTCAGCTGAAAGAAACAGCAGAGGAATGCAGAAAAAGCATTAATATAACCTTCAGTGCATTTGAAATTTGGGCATGGCATTATCAAAATGATTAAAGAGGGAAACAGGAAAAGCAGTTTTGTCTCCCAGAATAGCTGAAATTTAGGCTGGGAGACAGTTTTCTTCACGGAGTTGAAAGAGGTCTGATTGAGATGCTGCCCAGCTGTGAATTATCTGGCACCTTCGTGCATAGTGCGGATGTCCTTATAAAGGGCAGAGTCAGAAAACAGGAACTGATACAGAGATGCAGATGGGATGAATAGAGGGACGGAAGGCAGCTGCACTCAACAGGAAGAGAAAGGGCAAGTCCCCCCTCCTTTCACCTCAGCTCCCCAACCTGCTCCCCTGATGGAATTGCCGTATAGTGTTCTCCGAGCACCCTTACTGGGATACCGTTCCACTCCGTTCCAAGTTAATACCTGCAAGGCCAGAGACCAGAGATGAGGAAGATGCTTACTTCCAGAAAATTTCTGGGTATCTTGGATCAGATCCAGGCTGTATCCCTGGAAGGGGGTAGTCTGCCTCTGCCATTACCTGGGGGACCCTTCACTGTATGACAAAAGCAATGCTGTGCATGTTCTGTATGCTTGTCCTGTTATTGATGGATTGCCCCCAACAGTGTTGTCCTGCTGACTGGTGCTTCATCAGTGCAACCAAGAAGGGGGCATTGTTTCCCTCTTCCCTGGAGCCTTCCGCACACCCTCAAAATCTGCCCCAAAGCACTGAGAAATCCTCTGGGGCAGAATTTTAGGCTGTACAGATGACTGCACAGGGAGGAGGGGGAGGGAGGAGGGGAGGGAGGGAGAGAAGAGGATGTAACCCTCTGTTTCATGTTTTACAGGATTTGGAGGCCCATTAAAAATCCTGCAACAGCTGTTTCAATACACTAGGTGTGTGCATATCCATCATAAAGCCTCCAGCTCGCTCAAGACCTGATGCATCTTAACACTACGTTCCACTGTTGCTCACTGCCCCAGGCTGGTGAAGAGTCCACTAACCCAAAATTCTGCACAGCATCAAAATGCAGCAGGCGTGTGGGAGGGGGGATTATGCTTTTCATCTACTTTTTCCCTCCATACCATGTTAGCAGCTTCTGACTAGACAGTGAGAACTGATCAAACTGTACTCAAAGCAGAATTGCAAAGGCCTATATCCACTCGTTACTGATATCTATTATTATATTGAATATGCCTAAGCATCCCCACACATCTCTCTCTGACTTTTTCACATAATGAAACAAATTCCAGACAACTGGTCAGCATATTCAACCAGTTAAGCTAGACAAGACATACTTACGATCATTATCATGAATAATTTGAAAGTTTTTCACTGAAGCCTGTGTTACACGACCGTGGAAATTTAAAACGTAGGACTGGGTGTCATCATTCCAGACTGGAGTTTTGTTGTGCAGCTCAATAATACTCTCTGTGTTTTTATTCTGCCACCTAGAGAGGAGTGTTTCGTGTTCCTGTAAGAATCAAGGATGAAACGTCAGCAAAGGGTGCTTTTCCACTCTCCATTTCTACAATGAAAGAGTGCCCATCACATGCTATTTCTGACTTAAACTGTACCTCTGATGTTTCCCATATCCATCAGGCTAAACTGCTACCTCTGAAAGGCCTCCTTTCAAGACCCCCCCAATTTGAGGTGACACTGAGATAAACAAAAGCCTGAAGGCAATACCTCTTCTAGCTACATATTTTATTTGCCCAGGAATTTTTAATACTGTTGCTAGCTCTTTTATCTGGCATATAATGATGAAGGGCTGTATTTTTAAGAGCAATCTGTTTTTTTATTTATTGGAATCGCTTTGGATGAAGGGCAGTCCTGAAATACATTAACAAACAAGCATATACTGCACTGGCATACCAAACCACTTCCAGAATCTTGATATAAGCACATTTTTCTTGCTGGAAGAAGTCTGCCTTTCCTATAGGGGTAGATATAGGGGTTACATTTGGAACTTTCCCCCTAAGGAACAGGGGGGAAATGACAAGTCTGTAAGTGAGCATCCTGGGAAACCGAAGCATTGAAACTACCAAAGTACAAGCCAAGCAGATAACCATCCATTTCAATGGGAGAAATAAACATAATGCTCAAACATATCAAGTGGAGACAAGAACATAGGATTGCAGTACCATGACCAGTGTATCCAAGTTGCATTCCATGAGATAAATGCTTGAAGGGGTTAAATCACTACTACCAATCACAGGTCTGCTGTGAGATGGGAGCTCCCCTCCCATTCTCCCACAGACTCCTTTAGTCAGATGGTGTACGGAAATGATACCTCAAAGCTTGACAGATCTGTGACACTGGCTTCACAGATTTTAAGACGTATGTGCTACTGCTTCTGCCCTCCATTGCCAAAGCTGGGCCTTATTTAAGGCAATACTGAGGATTGCTAAAGGAAGAACAAACACAGCAGCAAAAAGGGCAGGAAAAAAAGAGGCAGAGGAAAAACAGAGGGGGCATAAGAAACAATTCTATCTTGGGAGACAGATTCATATTTAATATATGAAATACATGACAATACACTTTCACTGTGTGTTAGTCATCAGTATACTTGTTATTAATTACCCATTCTCAGGACTTCGACTGGTTTGACAGCTGTTATGTGTGCAGACCCACCTCCTCCCGAGGAGGTCGTGAGCTCCACGACATCAGGGACAATGCTCTGCATACTCCGAAGGATAAGTGGCTCTTCCTGGCACTCCCATAGACGTGCCAGAAGTTAATGGCCACAGCCACGGGCATGACTGAGGTCTCTGAATGCAACTCCAGGGATGCCGTGTTCCAAGGTCACTGAATGCTCTGTTCAAGGGATGCTGTGTTCTGCTTCTGGCAATGGGCTTCAGGATGTAACTGCTTCCAAACATGGGAGTAATAATGGGGAATATACCTATGCAGCTCCAGCCACACTTGCAATGCTCAGAAGGATCCTGATCATATGACCAAAAGCTTCATCAGACCCACACACAGTGATATGTGAAACTCATATTTGAAATAGGAACTCAGGAAGCAGGTCACCGATCTATCCAGCAGAGGTCTCCGGGGTTCAAGCCCCACCTGGACTGAACCTGCAACCTTCTGCAACGTGGCATGCCTTGTGGGCACTGCCTTTGTGCCTGAGATCTCTCTCCTCTCAGCAAACAAACTCTCATTTTATACATATAATCAATCATAACAATAACAACTGGCTTTGTGTCTCGTGTGGGGATGGGGAGCTGTTTCACTCATTTCTCAACATTTCAACTTTTCCTTCTATTGAGAGGGAAATCAAGCATGCCAGTGCCAGGGCCTGCAGAGCTGTCCTTCTTCACTCCCCTGAGCGACGGGTGGGGGAACCATCACACCAGACCTTTCTGCAACATTCAAGGGCCAGGATAGACCTCCCATTCTTCTAGGGACTCCTGCAAGCGAGGACTGCAGAGTCCTACGGCTCTGGGACCCTTGCACGGGTCACAGAATTGTACTATTCAGTGCAACAGAGTAAATGAACCAGTAGCTATTGTAGCTAAGCTAATTGATAGTATTAAAACAGATATATTAACTTACGTTACGTGGTCTGATTGACACTCTCTCGTGGTCCATATTCATCCCTGGTATGATGACGCTCATTTTACGAGGGCCTCTAAACCCCAAGACATTTGTTTCCTGTTTTGAAATGAATAAGCAGAATTTTGAATATCACCCATTTCTTCCTTGGATGCCAGCCTTTCCAAATAAATAACCTCTGATGATAAATCAGCCGACTAAACTAATTAATAAACTGCTCCAAAGCCTATCCACTGTTAACCCACACTTTCTAAAAAGCTCTATTTTATTTCATAAGTACAGGGGGGAAAGTGAAGTGTACAATTTGCATTGACAGAAAATGGGCAGACAAGTAAGCACTAGCTACAATTCAGCTCTCTGATTAATGAAATAACATTCTAACACAAAGTGTGTGTGTATTACTACCAATTCATAAAATTGTTATTACCAATACCAATATATAAATATACTTATGTAGCCATCTGGAATATTCAAAGTGCTTGGCATACGTATCTCAGCAAGAGAACCTCAGAATAGTGCCCAGAAAGCTGCTCTCCCCAGTTCTGTGTTAGGCTGCAGCTCCCACTATTCCCAGCCAGCTTGGCCAATGGCTGTTGCAGTCCCACACGTGGCCAGTTCCTTAGCCCCTAAGTCCTTCATTTTAGATGTCCTGTTCTAAAAGTAGGCCATTCTGAGAAAGCTGTGAATAGTGGAGTGCAGGGCCGAAGAGAGGGGATGTGTAAACCCACTTTCATTTACTGCTGAGTAGAAGGAAGGAGACAAACCAGGCATCTTCTCTTGCATAATATTCTCCCCTCCTCAGTCCCCTGCTGGCCACTGCTCTTCAGATTTGGCCCAGTGATGGCCAGGGCCTGCCTTCCATGCTTAGTACCAATGGTAAGAACAGTGAACATTTCCCACCAGCAAAACCATTGTGAGTATTTCTCTCAGTCATGATCGCTTACTTCATCTGAAACACACACGCAGCTGAAGACCTGCAGCCCAGAGTGTTTGTTCTCAACAGAGCTCCATGTCACATTTGTATGAAAACTGTATAGTATATAAATGGTCTCGAGACCAAGAAGAGATGTCACCTTCCAGCTGAGGGATGCGTTTCTCTCTACCTGGCTAGGATGCCTCTCCTGCTGCAGTTCTAATGGTGACCACTAGATGCAGCTGCAGACTTCTTAATGACTGGCAACTGCTGGGATGATTCTAGGGAAGGAGGAGGCATCAAATGTGTGTGTGCAGTGGGGCAGGGGACTAAAAATCCAACAGAATTTCTTGACCTGGCCCTGAAGATTCTGACCTGTCAGCCCTGCACTGGTGCCAGTTTGAACTGATGCAAGTCAAGCCATCATGTGGACTTCCAGTTTTAAAGTGAGATGTAATTTACATCCTAAAAAATAAAAGAAGAATACTGGGGAATTTTTGCAAAATTCAGGTCTTTTCTCCACAACTGCAGTGCAAAGGCACACATTTTGCACAAATCTAAATTAACTGGCAGAAAATTCACACTGACCAGTGTGGAGTGTGTACATACGCAGTGAGAAGAGCATCTTACTGCTCATGCTGAATGCTGCAACAAGAGCAATGATGACTCAAATATAACCAGTCTGTCTCAATGTGTATAATTTACATAAACTTCATCCCCCCCTCCAGCCAATTCAGCCCACCTTTGGCCATTAGGTTGGGAAAATGTCAGAATTTCATCAAGTTCAAACAGAAAGTTTTCTAGTGCTACACAACCCTACATCTATAACATATGATAACATGCAAATAACAAAAGCAGAAACGGGTTCTTTGAAATCTGTAACAAAAGACGTGAAATGTGATGTGACATAAGCATTTTCATCTGTGGCTCAATATCATCAAACCAAATCCAAGTGCTTTGGCAGTCACATGCAAAACATGCATGTGGTATTTTGCGTTTTGGTATTCGTCTGCATTCTTGTATAGATTTTATGGTACATGTTATGTTGTTTTAGTGTTTATAACCACTTGTAAACCATCCTGAGAGCAATGTGCTGAGAAAACGGTATATAAAAATCTTAAATAAATAAATAATGTAACATAAACTGGAATAACCTTTTCTAAATGACTACTTGATTAATTCTTCAGTACGCTTATTAGAGAAAAAAACTTGAAAACAGTTGCATGATACTTTCTAGTGACTTTGGATTCAACCATTGTAACAACATACACAAGCAGAATTAACTGGATGATCATGAGGAAGTAATCCCCAGGTCATAAATACAGAGATGGAGTTATATAGTTTTATATGATTGATTATTAATTATTTTATTAAAATATGTTTGCTAGTCTTGCTTGTGACTGAAACTTACGTAGCAAATAGCAGCCAGTTCCTGACGCAGGTTACTTGCCTCCAAACTCAGTGTTGTTTTCATTGGGTTTACTCCGTTATCATAAACTGTAAACTTAGTCCCCATAAGATTTGATCTGTTAGAGAGAGAAACAGTAGATTACTTCCACTGCCTAATGCAGACTGAGCCATTTTCTGTATTAGCATAAGCTGAGCCTCAAGTGTTCCCCGAACTTGAAAAATACTATTATCTGTAGCCACATCTGCCAGACAGTGATGAAGCTGTAGAAGGCAAGGCAGTATCAGGCAGGGCTGATATTCAGTATACAATTCTGAGAGATTTTTCACAAAAATCGCAGAGAAATCCAATACTATTAAGACTAGAGATAGGAACCCAATTATCAAGTTTTCACAAAAGCGACACTTAATGCTAGCAAACTGGCTTACTCCTTCCCTTGAAAAATGGCTATCTGGCCTATACTTAAACAGCATTAGCAAAGGAAAATGCTCACCCCCACCCCCAGCAGTTCTTACCATTAGGTAGTTTGCCCTAACGATTACCCAAAATCTGCTACCTTGAAATTTTCCACCCACTGGTTGCAGCCCTGCTCTCTAGAGTAGCAAAAAACAAGTCTGCCATTTTCAGAAGGGCAAATCTTCAGATATCTGGGGATGGCTGCCATGGTTTCTTTTAACCCTCCCTTCTCAGGCATAACCATATCCAGCTGTTTCAACTATTCCTGTTTTCTAGAACCCTTACCATTTAGGTTGCCCTCTTCTGCCACGTAAAAGCACATAATGGCCCCTAGTTTGGGATGAAAGGGTTCCTCTCATTCCAAAAGATTACCAAATGCAATGTGCAATGTTATGAGTAGAAAAAGGTGAAGAACTTTATCAAATGTGCATGGATGCAAAGCTAACTGTGGAATGTGCACAAGATGCATGTAATTAGGTCAGTTTGTGGGAAAACACTGACAAAGATACTTCCAAAATAAGCCCCCCACCTGAGGCAAGAGACATGTAAATCAATAATATTGCTAAGAGGTGAACTGGTCATCAAGACCTCTGAGGAAAAGGAGATGTCCTTCAGCAGAGAAAAGGGAAATTTCCAAGAGGCAGGATGAGCCTAATTAATGTACAACCAGAACACACAGCCAAATGACATTTTTCTACATATAAGAATTAACAGATGAGATTACCAACATCAGTAAAATTCTGAAGAAGACATGGAGACCAGAGAAGCAGCTCACTCAGTACATCTCCAACTTCTGAGGGTACAACCTGGCTGTCCACCTGGCTCTGCTGCTCCAACACTGGTAACAGGTTGAGTGAATGTGCAATGCATGAATGGATTGAACTGAGCTGTATTTTATTTCAACAAAGAGGTTCTAGACATTGCATTTCAGTCTTGAGCCCTGGTCTGTATGCCACCCTGTAATCCCCGTAATTTGTCACTCCAAATGGGCCTGACTCACCCAAAGAGAGTAGGATGATTACTTCCCAGGATCTGAACACTCTGCTTATGTTCCTAAAACCTACAAGAGCAGGAGCTGCTTCATGACGGGCTAAGAAAAATGTCTGGCTTCATGGCCCACAGGGAGTTCGGAGCCAGGTATCCCTGACGCAAGTCTACTGCTCTATCCTTTATAGCAGATTGATTCTTGGAGCCCTTCTTGGCATCCTTTTCTCTTTGGAAGAGGGAATGAGAGTAGTTTTTTTACCACTGCACCATCATTCCAGCTTGTTTAAATAAAAGAAGATTTAAAAAGGAATGAGTGGGCAATTGGTCTGCGTTAAGTGCTACTTCAGTTATCCCAAAGAGTGTTTGCAGTGTGTGTATGGTCACCAAAACAATGTCAGGAAATTGTCCAAGTGTCTCCATAGTATAGGACAGCTTTCTTCAGCTTGGCAACTCCCATCATCCCCATTCAACACGGCCACTGCAGGAAGGCTGGGGTCAGTTGAGAAACAAAGACTGTTTAATTCTTTTGTAAATTGCCATGCATTATAAAGCTCTGTAAGAACACAGAAACGCATCATCTCAGTGGGGAGGACTAGAACCAGGGACCATGATTGCCTATGATCCTCACAGGGTTTTGCTTTCAAAAGTATCACTAAGGTTCTGGATACCAGAATGCCTTCTTCTGTTTTGTTTTGTTTTGTTTTGTTTTAGCATATATCTTAAGTCTACAAACATTTACCTTAGTTTTCCAATGAAACTCTCGCCTCCTCGTGACAGGTCTGTTGGGTCAATGGAGATGAGGTAATTTGAGGTTTTGCTCTTCTTTCGCTTCCTTCCAGCTAACAAAAATACCTAAGAAATGTGAAAACAAAGTCACACTCTAGGTAAAATCTGACAGAACCATTAGAAAAAGGAAATCTGAGTCTGATTTCCTTGCAGCAAAAATGTGGATGGTCAAAATGGGAGCTAGCAAAAAAAAAGGATTTATTTAAAAATCTGCAAAGGAAATGACTCTCTTCAATCCATTATTTATAGTTTAAATAATTAAACTGAGTACACTTTGTTAAATGTTTAATTTGAGCTTGAACAGGCTCCTTCAAGTGAAGAGAAAACAGATACCACGTCAGTTGGAGGGTTATGGAACCCAAAGGCTAATCATTTCATGGCTCCAAGCATAAGACCTTCTGAGGACAAAGTATAAAGGAAGAGGGCTGCTGAACTAATGTGGGAATAAACACAACTTTGTTCTTAAGTTTGATTTGCCAGATGTCCAAAACCCAGGGTTTCACTAAAATGGTGTTTTAGGTATAGTAACTGTGCTTAGTCTACAATACTGAAGTTGTATGTATCAAAGTTCATTTGTTGAGTTCTGTTTTGTTTTGTTTTTTAACCTGGCCTTCAATCAGGCCACCAAGCCGAGTTGCAACTGCATTAATTCACAGTCTAAAATGCTTGAATAGTTCCACTCTATCACATTTGTGGTATATTAGCAGAGCACTCAAAAATGAGGGGCAGAGCATATGCGTGTGTGCAGAAGTTTGCAGGGTTCAGTTCTTGGTACTTCCAGCAGCTGGAGAAGACTCCTTTTTGAAGCCCTGGAAGGCTAATGCCAGTCACATTCAAGCCAGTACTGATCTAGATGGACCAATGGTCTAACTCTGTATAAGTTAGCTTCCTGAGTTCCTTAACGATTTACCAAAATGACCCCTTGACTATTTCAGGTACTATTTCAGCAGGTGGCCATCAGGTTGCCTTGGAAGCAACCAAAAAGAAGACAAATGCTCAGGAAAACAAATGCTGCTGCCCTGAAACCCCCTCCATATTCATAGTTTCAGGAAGTTGTCGTAACAAGTGGGACTGGCTGTTCACATGCATGACCCATAGATACTAACTCCCCCCACCCCACATATCCCTGAATCCTGGTGATATTATTGGCCTATGCTGTAATCTGATGTGTACTTCCCTGAGAATATTTAGCGATTGACTGATTGATTTGATTTGTTAAAAAAGCCGCCCATTAGCATCATGTTCTCTGGGCAGCCAGTGTGTCCCACTGATTTCAGTGTAACCAGCTTCTTAATAAGCACGCACAGTTCTTTCCGTTGCGTGGAGCCCTGGAGGACATGTCCAGTGGCTGTGCCCTTAAGGTACTGGCCCTATAATATCTTACCATTCATACTGAGGAGAAGGAGTACACTATTTAGAAGACCCCCTCAATCTAATTCCTTCTGCACAGGACTGGAACGTGGTCACTGCTACTGCTAATGGCAAAGACTGTACAAGACACATGAGAACTTTGTTCTCTGATAATCCAATTCTGTATCTGTTTTTTTCAGAAGCAAGCTTCACTGAGTGAATGGAACTCATTCCTAGGTAAGCATGCACAGAACTGCCTATATACACAGGATTTTCCTCCCTCAGCTAAAACGTAACTATACTCTCAGCTATACAATACTGGGGATAGAACATCCAAAAGAAGGGCATAAGAAGTCTTCTGCAACTGGGCAGGTTCTTGTTTTGTTCTCCTGTAACATATGCAACTAGCAAAAAATGCCTTATGACCTTTTTACTATCCTCCCTTTCTAAGTGGAGGTAGTAAGTGGGGTACATTCCACGGTCCATTCCCTTCTTGTCTCTTGAGATCCGGCATTTGACAGTAACACCCTGAGGAGCAGGTCTCACAGCAAACTCCTCCAGGTCATCAACATCTATTACGGGGGTGTTTGTTGAAGGGCTGGGTCCTGAGGCTGTCTCCTAGAAGAGGGAGAAAAGCTATCATGTGTTGAAAATACAATCAGCAGAATCGGATGACTTTGAATGTGATCAAAAAGTTGGCACTGTGGTGGTGCATCAGAAAACCAGGTGAAACACATCGCCTGCATGGCTCACTTCCCATGCACAACAGCACACTCAACACACTATCTGGAAAGGGGGGTAAATACAGTTCATGCAATAAAGATTTATTACTTTTTTGAGCATTTATGTTGGATTTTGAAATGCTCCCATACTCAAGTAGGACGATTTTCATATGGCTACCATAAAATAAGAGGAATTGCCAGCAATCTCATCCCTTCACCAGCCATAACCATACCATCTCATTTTGCGAAGCTTCTGCTATTTTATAAACGACTTGATTATAAACAACTTTGAAGGGTACTAAAAAGCTGGATTTGCTGCTGATTTAGGTAGGGTGAAGTACAAGGAGTATGTTTATCAGTGCTGGAAAGCAATTCCCTGCCCTGCTTACCCATCCACATGGGATGGAATATCGAATTACTAGTGCTACACATGCATGCATGCACGCACGCACGCACGCACACACCTTGGTTATATAATCATCTTGAAAGTGTACAACACAACCACCACCAGCAGCACTACAACTGTTGCTTTCAAATTACAGCAAAGCAACTTTAGGCTGGATACCAGGAAATGCCCGACTTGTAGAACTGGCTGAGGAATACAGAAAACAGCGAAAGGAAAGTATGGGATCTTTTGTTTTTATGAGGAACATATTTGGATTGCTTAAGCATCAGGGATTTAGGGTGTCAAGCAACAGAGTTAGATGACCCCATCACAGCAGATTTCTCACCTTACTTGATTTCTTGCTTGTCGCAGAACCTGGTCGGGTATTACTGTTTAACTGTGAGGAGCTTGAACTGTCTTCATCATCTTCATCCTCCTCTTCATCAAAATTCATGCTGCTTGAAATACCTACAGGACATTCATAACTCTTATAGAAATGAAGACTACTGCATATTCAACTTGTTTGCCTTTATAGTCCTTCATCTGAACATATATCTCATTTGCTATAGTGGGTCTTCCATCTCCATCATTCTTTAATTGCCAGGGGAACATACCTCTGAAGATCAGCTTCTCGATGCTATCAATGGAAGACAGAAACTGCCTTGATATTCTGTTGAAGAATCTGCCTGGCCACATCCAATAGGGGGAATACAGAATTAAGCAGATTATTGGTTCAGGTCTTGTGTCTATGCTCCAGTACTGTAACTTCTACATCCTGCATCCCACTTATGCATGTGCAGGAAGAAGAGGAGAAAAAAAAGTAATATGGACCTCCCCCCTTTCCTATTCCCAGTACACCTTTGTGTGTGTGTGTGTGTGTGTGTGTGTGTGTGTGTGTGTTACGTATCTGCAAATGCATGTGGGGGACTTTAAAAGTGTGTGTCTAATTCGCAACATGTACATGTATATTCAAAATTAAGTCCCACGGAGGTCAAGGAGTTGAGTCCAACTCTACAGGTAACCCTCGTCCTTCCTGCAACCAACTTCCCCTATCTCCGTCCCATTCAACAGGCTTCCAGGCAGCCATCAAGGCTCCAGAAAGAGCAACTGCAGTGTTCTTTATCAAACCCTCCCATGTGGCCTGCTCCTGCAAACACGAAATGGGCTAAAGGTCCGGGAAAGAATGAGGAAGCATCACCCTCTCTGAAATGTTTCTGAGTGGGGCTGGAATAAACAGAGCCTGAAACAGCCTTTGCTTGCAACACTGGTGCTGCCTTAAGACCACTGCTCCCTGCCCCAGGTGGAATCCTATCTATCTATTTATTTGGGGTTCTTGTATGCCGCCCCATTCGCATAAGCCTCGGGACGGCTTCCAATAAATAAATAACAATACAAAAAAAAATAGAGGTAACATGAGCTCATAGCAGGATACTGCCCACTGCATGACTGCCCTAAAGTACAGCAGATACTGTATTTATAATGGAGGCTAAAACTGGAGAAAGAAGGAAAGTTTGCCCTGTCTCCGCTACATCCCAGATTGCAACCCAATTACTTTATGCCACAAAATTCAGGAAGAACTGTGCTTTTATCTTGTTGCTCTGTCCTACGATATGTTTCTGAGTTATTCTATGAATTGGCCTTTAGTTCACAACCAAGGGTGAATCATACAGTGTACAACAAACATGCTAGAACAAAGAGCAAGTTGTACAGGATCCTTACCTTTCTTCTGCATTGTTACTCTAAGGTCCTGCGTGCCTTCCTGTTGACTAGGAGATACCATCTCACCATCATCCTCATTTTGGCAAGCTTCTCCAACAGTAAGAATTTGAACTCGGCTCTCTACATCCTGTACATCATCTTGAAAAGCAGCTGGACCATCAATGCCTATCAAGCAGCAAAAGTCAAAGAACTGTGTCACTGTTAAAGGAAATAGGCATTCTTCAACCAATGACTGCCACAAAAGTGGCAGACATGTTTAATTATATTTTGAACAATACAATAGTTTCGGGTCTGAGTTGAGATTCTTGAGCATAGCACCACCACCATCAGTGATCTGGAAGAGTGCTGACAGCAGTCACTTAGGCAATTGTTTCAGTGAGTAGGTGGCCACAAAAAATGGAGTCTAAAGAAGCCAAAAATTACCACTGTACCTCATTTGAAGCAGGCAGGGAAGGAAAATTGCCACCCATGTGCTCACTCTTGCTCTCTCTCTCTCTCACACACTCACACACACACACACACACACAATGTATCCCCACAAGGGAAAAATGCAAAGGACTGCCCCTGCTTTCAACAGCCAGGAACACTTGAGTCCCATGACAAACAGGCTGTAGAAGATGCTTTGGTTGGAGTCAGGAGGAAAATGGGTTCTGTCTATTCTATAACTGCAGAATATGGAAATCTGCCCTGTCCTCACAGCTGCTTAAAGCACCGAAACATGGAAGACAGACTAGTGTCATTCAGACAGTTCTCCAAAGCATCTCAGAACTAAACTGTACAGTTGATGGTTCACTTCATTCTTTTTGAGGAAAAGTCAATTTAATTTTTTGTTATACTGAAATAAAAATGTAAATATATTTCAGTTCTACGTCAACCATTTAAAATTTGGTTTTGTACTGGTATGAGCAGTAATATTTTGATGTCTTTGTCTACATACTTCCCACTATAAAAGTTGCAAAACTGATGAGACAGAAATTGACAACCATAACTAATGTAAAATTGGTAATTATTGCAAAATGTCAGCATGTTAATTACTTCTACAATGATTAATCACAAATAGGAAAAATAAAATAATACCAAAACCAAGCCACTATTCCCAAATCCCTTCTCAATTGTTAACATTAATTTGCTTCATTCATTTTTAAAATTAGTGAACTTAATTCATTCTCATACATATTCAAAAGTGAATAAAAACATCTCTACACATGCAAGTTTTAAATTTGCACAAGGAAGAACTGACAGTTTAGAATTTTCAAGTAAGATTTAAATTGTAATTGTTTTAGCCTCACTTCATCGTTATATTACATTATTGCATTGCATTTTGTTTTTATCCTGCTTTTTTGTTCTTTTAAGAACCTTCCTTTCCTTTTTATCCTTATAGGAACAACCCTGTAAGGCAGGCCAGACTAAGAGCGAGTAACTGAGCCTAAACCATACAGTGAGCTTCATGGCTGAGTGGGGACTGGAACCTACATTTCCCAAGACTTCAGTCCAACACTAAGCACACCACACACTGCAAAACAAACCAGCAAAATCCACACAGGGTTGGACTTAAACAAAGATATAATTATGTGTACTATACTTATAATTATTCTTCCAGTAACTAATGAAGCAAAAGTTGCCATGGAAACTCATTCATTCCTTATAATGCAAACTTGTCTCATGGTTCTCTTTAAGTACCTTCCTTTTATTGGTGATTTGCCAGTTTTAAACCAGTCCTTGTGATAGGCCACTAGTCTGACTCAGCACAGCTATCGATAGGGTTGGCTTAGCATACTCGTTAAGCCAGGATTCTTCTAAGCACAACAGGGCAACAAGCACATCTCCCACTATTCATACAAAGTAAAAGTCATGTGGGTGGATTCTCCACTGAGGCTAAACCTGTACTCAATCCTGAATTAGAGCACTCCTAATAGACAGCTTCTCAGCCTCTGTTTGATGACACCCCCCCCCCAATAAGGAAATAAAACACATCACATCCTTCAAATAAACTGTCTCCGTTATCAGACTGCCTATACAGTCAGGAGGTTTCTGTTAATGTGTCTTCCTGTAACTTGATTAGGGCAAGTCCTGCACTCTGAGTGGCAGGGGACAATCCATGCTATTTTATTTATTAATTTATTACACATTTCTTCACCACTCATCAGCTCAAAGGCTCCCTGTGTGGTTTACAAAATCGGAAATACCATAATTAATATTAAACACATATAAAACACATGTAATAATGCTCGGACACACAGTTCCTTCAGTCCTCTCTCAAACAAATTGTTTTCCACTTTCTTGACCATCTTTGTTGCCTGACTTTGAACATTTTTCAATGTGTATCTGTTTGTATTCAGGCTTCTATGACTAGCTTCAGTTTCAAGGTTACATACCTATGTACAGCCTGAAGTCCTTAATATACAACCATCAACTTATATAACAGTGAGGATTTATATGTTGTTTGCCTTTCTGAAAGCCATGGCACAGGTGTCAATATACTCAATTTTTAACATCAAAAGGAATTCTAGAGGGAGCTCATTTATGGCTACACAAACAGGTTCATGGATGAACGGTGCAATCCTACACATATCGGCTCAGAGATGAGCCCACACAATTCAGTGCAACAAATTCCACAGGTAATCGTGTACAGTGCATTAGTGTACAGTGATGCAGCTCCATCACTGGCTCAAGACTGAATCACAGCACTGCTGTTCTTAAAGCTGCTCTGGAAGCAGAATGCAGCACTGGTCAAGAGCTGTCCCTTCTCAGCATGCAACTGCTTTGCCAAGGGAGCTGTACTTTGCTGCTTATTTGCTGCCGGGGCAGGTTTAAGGTTCTGGTGCCTGCGTACAAAGACCTAAACAACTTGCATAAGATGCCCCAACGAAGCACCCTCTCCATTACCAATTTCCCAGTTCCTCGAGGTTATCAGATGGGATGCTTCTGGTGGTTCCACATGGGCCTGCGGCCCCAGTGAAGTCCACTAGAAGAGCCTTCAATCTAACAGCTCCACAGCTCCAGAACTCCCTTCCCTCTGGAGGTCAGGTAGCCTCCAACATTACATTGTTCTTGGCATCAGCAGATTCCAAAACATCTTTTTCCAGGAAGCTTTCCTTGTTTGGCCACCCTTAGTTTTAAAGGCATGCTATTTTAAATACATAGTTTAATTCTTTTTCTGTTTTATCTGTTAATTGCTCACAACTCTAGAATCTGTTCAGGAATGGAGCAATATATAAATGCTGCAAAATCAGTCACTCCATCAAACTCATCTTCTCTGCATGCTACTTTAAAAATGCATATCCCCACTGACCATTTCCCCTTCAAGGAGATTTTGACCTGAAGCAAATCAAGTGTTTCCAATAAGGTGAAGCAACACCATCTGTACACTGAATCTGCTGACTAGCTTATTTGGAATCCAAGTGTCAGAAATATCCTTTTATTGTAAACTGTCAGAACAAAGATTACACTAGCTCTCATACTTCCAGGGAACAACAATAAATCTTAGTTCTTGAAGGGATACATGACTGCCATGGACTGTTGGGACAGACTGCAATTATCTGTGCTGTTTCCCATTCTTGTACTGAAATCAACTCAGCAGTGGTGGAATCCATATCCTGAATCGTTAGCTTACGCAGTACATGACATGAATAACATGGTGCTAAAATCAGTATTTGTCTTAAAATCAGTTAAAACTTTCTATCAGTAAAATTAGGGTGGAAAATTGGAGAAAGCATAATCCCTGGATGGCACTTAGAAGACTACCTTGTACATCTGGAGCAGAATGAAGAAATTAATAAAGGAAATATTTTAGCTAAAATATGTAAATGGGAGGACAGAAGTTTGAAAGATTGATTGGAAGAATGCATAGTTCATAAATTTTAATATACTAAATGTGCACAATATGAAGTGGTACCAATTATTTCTGGATAATTACACAATTAATAGTCTGGTGAAGAAATATGGGTCTTTCAGGGTGCAATTCAGCGGATATGTCCGTAAACCTCCAAAATCTGAGGATTACAGTTATCCTACATACAGCAAGAAGAACATGGGGTGATCTCTGCCACCTTGGTCCTTCTACCATATAAGTCAGCTAGATGGCTGATTTCAAGTGCTTAACTGTAGCACTTCAGAGGCAAAGGGAAGGAGGGCATTTAACTCTTTACAAAATTAAGAAGCTGCATGGCTTTGAACATGAGAGATGTTGGAGATGTGGTTCATCTGCAGCAGATTATACCCATGGTTTTTGGTACTGTGTTAAGATTAATTCATATTGGAATCAAGTGTTTTACATTACGCAGATAAAAGGTTACAAGCTTCCAAATGATCGTCTTAGAATGCTCCTTCATTATTTAAAACATTGTGTGGCAAATGTGGATATAGAATTAGTAATTAATCTTTTCACAGCAGCAAAAATAACTCAATAACTTCATTTTGGAAAAGAAGTGTTGCCTCTCTGTCGTCTGATGGGGAAGGGGGTTAGGATCTGAGATGCGGCAATAATGATAAAATGATAATGATAGATTTTATAAAGGCTAGAGAAGAACTCCTATTTGAAGATGAGTTTATCAAAAGATGGCATACGTCTTTTAGAACAATAAATTTAGAGATATTAACCCATATTGTTTTCTTGCTGTGTATTTTATTTATTTATTTATTTATTTATTAAAACATTTCTATGCCGCCCCTTGCTGAAGCCTCGGGGCGGCTTACAACATCTAATAAAATACACAATAAATTAAAACAATAACAATTAAAATATATACAGTAGAATAAAATAAGCCGCCCTGGCCAAATAAAATTCAATAATATTAACATTTAAAATGCTGCTTAAATAAAAAGGTCTTCGCCTGGCGCCGAAAAACAAATAATGACAGCGCCAGGCGGACCTCTCTGGGGAGCGCATTCCGTAACTTAGGCGCCACCGCTGAGAAAGCCCTCCTCCGAGTAACCACCCTCCTAATTTCCTTCACTGAGGGCTCCCGGAGGAGGGCCTGTCCCCCTGATCTCAGGGGGCGGCTGGGCATATATGGACGTAAGCGCTCCTTCAGGTTACCAGGACCCAAGCCGTTTAGGGCTTTATAGGTCATCACCAACACCTTGAATTGGGCCCGGACTTCAATGGGAGTTGTTGAAAAATATGTACACATGTATCCACTGAGTGTTATTGTTAACTATTAAGC